CGCACGGGTGCCGGCAAGAGCACCATTCTCTCGACTTTGTTCCGCCTCACGGAGCTAAGCGGTGGTCGTATCATGGTTGATGGGGTCGATATCGCTCAAGTTGGTCTGCACAATCTACGCTCAAGGCTTGCCATTATCCCGCAAGACCCTACGCTGTTCCGTGGAACGATCCGTTCGAATTTGGACCCATTTGACAGACACAGCGATCTTGAAATGTGGAACGCTCTTCGTCAGGCCCATCTCCTTCCTCGAGAAGACTCGTCTGAGGCCACTGGCCTCGCGTCAGGCCTAACAGCCGAAACATTCGATGCCACCGACCATAGTCTACGCGACATACAAACGACCGCCCACCCCCCAGAGAATAACAAGGAGACACGGATCACCCTTGACGCCATTGTGGAAGAGGAAGGTCTGAATTACTCTCTCGGCCAGCGACAGCTGTTGGCCCTGGCGCGTGCGCACCTGAGGAACGCACGTATCACACTCATTGACGAAGGGACTAGCAGCGTAGACAGCGCGACTGATGTCCTAGTGCAAAAGACTATCGCTCAAGAACTTAGCAGCGGCAAGACTTTAATCGCTATTGCTCACCGCCTGCGCACTGTCCTGTTGTACGATCGGGTTTGTGTCATGGATCAGGGCCGTATTGTCGAGCTAGGTCCGCCGCTGGAGCTTTGGGAGCAGGCGGGAGTATTTCGAGGGATGTGTGACAGGAGTGGCATCACTCGAGAGGACTTTTCCATTGGATGAGTTGGGTTGATTGCTAGTAGTGTCGCGCGATGGCGCATGATGTCCAGCTCGTGCCATGCAGTCACCCATGGCCCCGAGACAATTAAATGGCCAATTTCAACATGTGTGAACCAGATCATCGTCAAGCAGCAACACAACTTTTGAAGGCTCGAGATTTCTTACCGTATTCAGTCCTTTGGGGATTTCTTGAATGCAATCGTCTAATAATATCCATCGAAAGTATCCTCGCGCTTCGCAGACACGCTCCTGACAGCTTCCTTGATCGGCAAATCTCCCTCCCCGGGACCCAGGATATCGAATGCCAGGCCCGTGGTCCACTCATCCTCGATCGCAGCAAAGAGGACAGCGGCGACATCGGCCCGGCTGATCATACCCTGGAGGCCAACCTTGCCCGCCCTGATTCGGCCCTCGGCCTCCTTCTCCGTCAAACCACCAGGCCGAATGATGGTGTACTCGATTCCTCGGCTCCGGTTGTTGACACGCAGGTCCTTGTCGGCCTCGAATTTAGCCCTCAGCGCCGGCTCAATAACCCCCCACATGCGGTCGCTCAGCTTGATGTCTGCCTCACTGTACCAATCAGGCGTCGGCCTCTTGCGGTCGCGCACATCGGCAGAGCTGATGGCGACATAGCGCTTCCGCGGGATCTCAGCCTGAGCGAGGGCATCGATGACCTTGATGGCGCCGTCACGGTCGACCTCGACAGGGGCACGGGGGTTGCTGGCGGCCCACACGACTGTGTCGGGCTGGGTGCGCTCGAGGATCTTGACAAAATCTTCCACTGTGCCGGAGACCAGGTCTTGAACAATGGGATGAGCGCCGATAGCGATGAGCGAGGGAACCTGTTCAGGGTTGCGAATGATGCTGTAGACGGCGTGGGCGGGGTTTGCGGCGGTGAGGAGCGAAGTAAGATGACGTGCGGTTTTGCCGTTCCCGCCGACAATCAGAGTCGTCGGAGGGTGAAACAAACAGGCATCTCCCATGGTGGCAGTTCGTTATACTACACAGCTGTTGTCCCGGGGCTGTGATAGATGGCAATAGGACGGAGAGCGAAGGTTGGAAGACCACCTAGCCTAGCCATGACGAAATATAAGCTTGGCCCAACTCCCACATGCGCCACCTACTACCAAAGGGATACCCCGCCGCAAAAAGGAGGGATGTGGGGTATGTGGTTTAGTAATCCGTCTTACCGAGCGATAAACTGTTCATGAGGAGTGTTGAATTTGTGCTTCACATTATGCGATTCGATACTCTGATATCCAACCTTCTAGATTTTTAACAGCACATGACGACCAAGGTCTGGTGCCGCGATTATTCTTGCTGCCTGGGATGTTGGCCGACGGTGCGCATGCTTTTGACTTAGCGCCATCTCTACGATGGGCAAGTGAGAACGATTGCTATCAAACATGGTGGGAATAGGTTCCCTCGCGCCACTCTCTCACAGATCCAACCGCCACGCCAATGACTTCCCTACTTGTGTATGCTATCCCGAAATTATCTTTTTCCTTGGCGCCCGCCTAGCAAGCTCGGCAACATCAGCCTAGTCGACAAAGTCATCGTGGAGGCTCGTCGCGACCTCAGAGGGAGACAGAACAAGCCCACAAGCCTCGAGGCAACGTCTGGGGTGCCTAAGATGATAAAGCCCTATTGTATCTGGTTGAAATGGCGGGTGAATGAGCCCGGTAATTCTACGCCTTCGGGCCGGCGAAGTATCTAGGGATTTAGCATGGCCCTTCTGGCGTGCTCGTCGGACCTGCACACCATGGCGACTCCCTTACTGATACACACTCAGTTTCAAAGCGTTTCCGGACGCTGGTGACTAGGAATCCGCACTTCTCAATCTCAACAATCTTGCTAATGTTCGCGTTGACAGGTGACCTAGTGCCGGCCGGTAAAACCTTTGTAGGGATCGCTCGCCATTACGCGCAGGCTTCACAACGTTTCGTACCTTCTGCATCGCTTCAATTAGATTCATGGCCAGAAAAGACGCAGTGATCTGTAATATTGCCCACTAAGCCCTCCTGGAAAAATGGCCGCGTCCTGTCACAGACTGATAAAGCTAACAGCTTCGATACACTTCACAGGCGGGATCGAGCTGGGGCTGAACGGACAAAGCATACTCCGCACACAAACAGCGCTACCAAAGGGCGCTGGTCACTTGTCAAAAACTTATCAATCGCTGCTCTCCGACTCGTCAATTCCATTGACTCCAACCGAGGCGCATTCCCGTGAAGTGTATTAATAGTTGTTCCTTCGCTAGATAAGGTAGGCTGTGAATTGAATTGTTTCGATGATCACATCCACAGAGCCACCATCAAACGCTAGGCATCAAGCAACAGCATGCCGGGAGTGACCTTTCTATCTGCCGTCGCAGCGCTGGTTGCGGCCCTCATTTACCTCGTCAATGTTCTGGTTGTAGAACCATTGATAACCAGCCCTTTGAGCAATATCCCTGGACCAAAATCTTTTGCCCTCAGCCGCTGGCGACTGGCTTGGGAAGACTGGAATGCAGCACGTACGCGGACCATCCTTCGATTGCACTTCGAATACGGTCCGGTAGTGCGCATCGGGCCAAATGAGGTGTCTTTCAACAGCCTGAGTGCATTGCGGACCATCTACGGGCCTGGCAGTCGATTTGGCAGGACGACATTTTACCGCATGTTTGATGTTTACGGCGAGCAAAACCTGTTCACATTCCACTCGACGAAGGAACACGGCAACAGGAAGAAACTACTTTCCCATGCCTATTCGAAGTCGGTTGTGCTGAAGGAGCCAACGACAAGCCTCGTGGAGGAGAAGGCCCGACAGTATCTTGACTTGATCAGCACTGAGCCACAGGGCATCAGCGATGTCTTTCTCTCGATGCACTACTACTCTCTAGACAACATCACCGCTTTTGTCTATGGAAAACATGGGTCGACGCGTGCCCTGCAGGGGTCAAAGAATGATCGAGCCTTGATTGACGATATCTTGCACCCATCGCGCCGCCGGCTATCGTGGTTCTTGGTGCACTTTCCATCATACACAAAGTGGCTGTACTCATGCAAACCATTCATGGGCTGGATTGTAAAGCCGATCCTGCCCATGCAACAACCAACTACATACACCAGCATACGGAGATTTGCATTGCAAGCTTTTCAGAATCTCAAATCGGCGCAGAAGGGCTCAAATATCTCGGGGGACTGGAGCAGTGCTGAAGACTCATCCATAATCGGCCAGCTATGGCGCTATCATGAGTCGCAACAGCCCGACGGTATGAATGACATGCAATTGGCTTCGGAATGCGCAGACCATTTCCTTGCCGGAATCGATACGACGAGCGATACCCTCATGTTTCTGGTTTGGGCACTCTCTCTTCCCGAAAACGAGAAGTTCCAGGCCAAGTTGAGAGACGAGGTAATGAACCTGACAGGAGATGCGCTTAATGAGCATGGGCATCCACGCGTGGACGCCTCGGATCGATGCACATATCTCAATGCGGTCATCAAGGAAACATTGAGACTTTACGCGCCCCTCCCGAGTACCGAACCGAGATCCATGAATGCGCAGTCGATAGTCGACGGCTTCCAGATTCCACCCAACACTGTTGTTGGGATGTCGCCTTATATCATTCACCGTGATCCGACGGTGTTCAAAGACCCCAGGACATTCAACCCGGAGAGGTGGCTAGGATTAGAAGCGGTTGAATTAAACCGTCATTTTTGGGCGTTTTCGAGTGGTGGAAGAATGTGTATCGGTATGCAGTAAGTGAAGATTCTGACTGTTATCGCAGCAGCGGTGTGTGGGCTAACCGGCAGTAGCTTGGCCATGGCGGAAATGACCACCGTTACTGCCGCTCTCTATCGAAAGTACAGGACATCCATAGCGCCAGGTTTCGAGGATGTAGCTCCAGGAATCACTGCACGAGTTGAGGTCTTTTCAGATGACCGATTTGCAAAGACACAGGTTGGTCTTCCCTTTCACAACCGTACCTTCGGCACTGACCATATCAGGAACACACTTGTCTCGTTCAATTTCAGGAATTGAGTAAGTGAGAAAAGTGTTGCACTCTGGAGTGGTGTTTCCCTCTTCTGCAGCACATCCAGTGGATAGAGGCAGACCTTTCTTGACCAGCCCATCCACACGGCTTTCCGAACGCGTGAACAGGGCTGGGAACGGCATCACTCTGTTCTAAAGTTAAGATGGTTTTAAAATACAGCAATAATCAGTTGCAATGATTATTGCGTATCGCTGTACTGAGTATGAAGATAATGTCAGACTAAACCTTCAAAAGACGTCTTCAAACCCTGAAATGTTATGCCCTCCTCTCCATCCTTGAATTGGACCGCCGGTTTTCCTCCGAACCACGAACACTCAATCCCAAGGTCCTCCACAGAGGCCTCTGAGGCAAGTACTTTAGACACAAATGACCCAGTCTGAGCAAGTAATCTGGCCGCATCCGCGCTTTTGGTGATATGTCCCGAGGCAATCGTGACCTTGCCTGCTCAGAATAATCTTAGAAGGGGTTGCAAGGAGAGACGTAATCGGAGCACAAGCAGGCTGAAGAACTTACCGCAATTTACCTTTTCCTCTTCATTCCAACCATGAACGAGCTGCTGTAACCTATCGATTGTATCTCGATACTCGGAGATACTTCCACCCTCCGGGAAAAGGATAGGTGCGCGCTCATAAACCGTATCACCAACAAATAAGACGCGCTCCTTCGCATCCCAAATAGCAATTTCATCGGGCATGTGGCCTGGTGTTTGAAAAACCACCAAGTTTAGGTCCTGCCCAGAACTGCTGACCACTCGAGCACCATCTTCTGCCCAGTGGGTAACATGATACCTTGGCAGCTCCATGCCGATGAAAGCACATAGCGAGGCGCTGTTCAGTTTATGAGGATCTGTCAGAAAGTCTTTCCCCGCAGAGCTTGCCCAGACGGCAAGTCCGGAGGTCCTCATAAACTCGGGAATTCCTCCTAGATTGCTAGAGTCAGAAGGCCCCGGTGGTAAAGAGAAGAAATGAACCATACCGATGTGGTCATAATGGCAATGTGTAGAGATAATTGTATACGGTCTCACACCAGACCGATTCAGCGGAAGGCCTTCATTGTCAGGTACTGGAACCGTCTCGAGATACACTTTGAGCGTGAGATCTATGGTGGGCGTTTCTGACGATCCTCCGCAGCCCGAATCAATGAGTACGATATCGTGCGGATATGTTTTGACATAAATCAATGGTTCCTCGCTCCATTTATCGTTCTCTTGCACGACAAATGTAGTTGAGTTGAGGCGTTGGCATGAAAATGCTGGTGTGAGGTGGTCGGTTCTGTTCTCCTCAGCTGCTGCGGGGTCGTTCTCGATTCTTGACAATTGGCACATTTTGCAAGCTAATCTCCCAAAGAGGACGTCTAGTAATGCAGTACCTGTGCCGTCAAAGATGATACAGGCTTTGATCGCGATAGGACTGGATTTGAAGGTAGGTGGACGGTGTATGGTCTGCTGAAATGCAATGGTAGGCGGACAATTAGGCCATCTCGTGGCTTTGTCGCGTGGGTGTGGGTGGCGCCGCCCCTATCTTGTGGGGTCAGCTCAATTGGGTGTCACTGTGTGCTGCAATTAAATCTCATCAAGAGGTCGATAGTAAGCCTCAAAGCTTTGGGTAGGTTATTAAGAAGGAGACTCCTCTCATCGATAATCATGGACCTCATAGGGCGAGGACCATGAGTCGCATGATTAGTGCCACAACAAGCAGCCCACTGTCAAGGACATTCCTGAGACTGACTGAACATGCTTAATGTCAATGGAGCCTGTGAGCCGAAAGCAATGCAATTTGCAGCCATACTGACAGTCGCGGATATATACATGAAATCAAGGCTAGGGTGAAAGAATGATATCTCGTGTTTCTCCTGCGTATGCTGGTGGTATGCATCAAATGTTCTTGAAGACGGACAAGCTCGACAGCGCATTCCCAGGCCACGAGAATAGCGTGTTCAATGGACAAGAAGACCCCAGCGCCTGATTGTTCATCCAAGCAGGTTCCCAGTAGTACAGACCCTTGCCCTTGTTGACTTTGCTCACGACGTCAGCAACCCGTTGGATGAAGGTCGTCTGACCTTGGGCCGAGAAGGGGATGTCCCTCAGGTCACTCGGGAAAGGCTGCGCCGGCGACGGGCAAGACGTCGGCCAGTTCAGCTCGGCCACGACGATTTCCTTGCCCCACTTGCTGGCCATGTTGTTCAGTGTGGTTCGCAGCGCCGAGAGTGTGGCACCACTCCCGTAGAAGGGGTAATACGAGACGCCCATCTGATCAAAGTCACCGACGGCAAGGGGTCCGGCGGCGAGGACCTGAGTATAGAAGTACTCCTGAACGTTCCAGTCCCAGGCACGGTCGAGGTGGATCATGATTCTAGGTTTGGGGCTGAGGGTTGAGTCTTTAATGCCCCAAGAGGCGGAGCTGAGGAGGCGTGCGACGTTGTAGAAGTTGGAGGTCTTTCCGGTTGGGAACAGCAGCCCAGAGGTGATCTCGTTGCCGATGGAGATGATGGCCGGGGGCACACCAGCTTTCTGGAAGGCGTTGGAGACCTCCTTGGTGTAGTTGTAGAGCCTCCATGAGAGATCGTCGATACCAGAAGGCCAACCACTAGGGATGGCCTGGTGAGCGGGGTCGGCCCATGTGTCGCTGAAGTGAAGCGTCAGGTAGACGCTGAGTCCCTGAGCTTTGGCCCGCTTGGCAAGGTTAAGATTGTAGTCGAGGTTGTAGTCGCCATTGGAAGGGTTGACCCAAATGCGCTGTCGGACGGAATTGACGCCGTTCGCTTTGAGGATCTGTTCAAGAGGCTGAGCCGAGCCGCCATTGGTGTACTTGATACCAGCCCGTTCTTCAACCAAGGTCGACGACCAGTCGACACCCCTATAAGTAAGGGCCGCTGTGGCCGACGACCACAGAAGCAGAGCGCTAGTAGCTACGCTGGCAAGCATTTTGAGAACCGGATAGACTGAATGACTACCAGAGCGAAGCCGAAGGGCGTGCGGGAACTCATCGCTGCGGCTACTTCTGAGAGGCCGTGGGTCTTATGACTTTCTAGAATGAAGGTCGGCAGGAGGCTGCACCCCAGAACCGTTGCTGCCGGTAGTCTACCAAGCCCGAGATGAGATCAGGAGGGGCTGCGGGGGTCGGCAGTATCCCTGACATGCTTCTCCTCATGTTAATTAGTACCGAAGCCTGGTGTTGCAGCGCCGGATCGGCACGCATCGCGCGGGCAATCCCCTACTCCAATCGCCACCACCCAACATACTATAGTCAGCAGCAGAACGATGTGCCATTCGGTCCTTGGAATTCCGTTACCAAGCTGGAACATTGTAGCTGGTGCATGAAAATCGCTGCTTTCATGGACTCGGCGGCCCATTTGCTAAACGGGGACGATAGGGGAGGATTACGGTAGTGGTCTAGCGATTGCGTCCTCGCCCCTGGACAAGGCTTGCAGATTGCGACGCTGTTTCACCCGCGGCCTCGCCTCGCCCGAACAGCTGAGCTGTCTTCCTAATTTTGCCCAGGTCGTCCACCTCTACCAGTTCTCGGCAGGTCGCTTGGTAGTAAGACCGACCTGCTCAATCTCTCGGAGTTTTGCGCGACATTTGGGGTCTAGACAGCGGAACAAATTGAATCCGCCTGCCACGTAGATCGCGAACAGCCCGGTGGACATGGAGCCGAGTGGTCGAACTGCCAGCTAAACAAGGGGTTCGTCTCGTTTGTGAGTACCGCCCCAATCAGCGCCGTTTGTCGCGGGAGATCGACGGACATGGCGAATACCTCACGCGACGCAATCCGGATCTGATCCCAGCCTCTGCGGACCAGCTCATCAATACTGGTGCCGTACACGTATTCCCTGAAGCCGGCCCATCGAATCGCTGACGCGCACATGGGACAGCTTTCGGCATTTGTGTAGATGGTCAAGTCTGAGAATGCTGCCAGAGCTTCTGCGACTGTCATGTTGTAAGGCCCCGTCGGATCCGTCAGGATATGAGAGCAGTTGGCGATTGCTGCCATTTCACCTGATGTTCGTCAGTTCTCCGATGTATGCCCTACATAAAGCCACCGCAGTCTGCGTCACGAGACAAGGCCCATTTGTCAGCCTCTTACCATGCATGATGGGGTTGCCAGACTGGTGGCTCGTATTTTCGCCGGTGCAGACAATGCCGCCTCTGCCACTGACTGTGTGATTCACAATAACGGTGCCGAAGGGAGCGAATGGGCATGGCGAAGACAGTGCTTCGTTCGCTTGTCGCACCCAGTACTGTCGTATGTCCTGATTGATTTGCTTCTGGCTGTGAGGAAGCTCAACAAGGGGAATCTGTTCCGTAGACAGGCGGCGCAGATGCCCATCGTGTCGGTGACCTGCACCCAGTCGAATTAGGCCCACAAGTACACCGAAAACGACTCTCTGCTTCATGTTTATGCACGGTTTCGCGTGTTGTCGCCGACGAAGAATTTCAGAGACTGCGTCGGAGGTATGGTACTTCTTGCAACGTCTGATGTCTTGAACCTGAGCCTTCAATCTCGCCAGAGGTCGGGACAAACGACAGAAGCCACTATACTCCTGAAATCTCGCATTCTTGTGGCGCACGCCAGATCGGAATACCCCGCACTCGGGGGCGTCATCGTCCACCATTGTGTGTTGGTTCCACCAGTCTGGAGCCCCTCTGAGGTTCCTGATGAGCAGCAATGGAAGCTGTGTTGTAGACTGTGTAGGTATCCTACAAAAGACAGGCAGGCTTGTTCACTCCACCTGACTGGGCCTTCGCCAACGTCTTGTGTACTGCTTTTTCTTTTCTCGTGTCATCTTTTCGCACCTTTCTTTTTCTGGGAAATATCTGCAACGGATGCTCCGTCCTACAACGGTGGGCATTCCCGACCACGTTTGGGCATTTCAACCTATCAAGCCCAGAAAATTTTCGGAATAGAAAGTGAGTTTTGTTTGCGGGGCGATGGATATTCACTCTGTTTTCCACGACGGTTGAGAGAACTGAATAGACAGCGATGTTTGAGCAACCCCTGAACTGACGAGGGGCAGAACTCGGGCATGAAATACAAACATGCTAGCAGCAGCCCGCGTGTCCACAAAGAAACACAGATTGCTACAGCAAGGCGGGAGTCAAAGTGTCGAGCAGGCGAGGCATGAGGCAATAAGCCGTACTACCACTCGGAAAAGAACACCGGAGCTCTTCCAAAAGCAACAGGCACAAGGGCTGCTTTGCGAGTCAGGGCGTTGACGGGAGCGCCATGGCTTGGGGACGCCAATTTTCCGCCACACGCACGACGATAGGGGAGCATCGGTTTACTTATACTCAGTGGTGAGAGAGATCCCGATCGAGGCCTATGGAAAACATCAAGCCGTGGCCGATATCTGACTGTTTTGCGATTGGGCACTGACCACAGTGGCCAAGGTTGGTTACGGGGACTACACAGCGAGGAGACAAGCCGCGTCCTCCACAGACTCCGCGCCTCCATCTTGTACTTTCCATGGCTCTGGACCTGTATGCTGCATCATGGCGTGCCTGAGCAATAGATTGGGACACGCCAGGCTCCGGAGAACGCGTCAATTCCGACGCGAAGCCATCACGACAGTAGACCCTGCCCTCAGTCAATCTGAGGAGCGCTCGTTGATTGAATTCCGCTCCAATGAGAACAAGCTCTTTTAATTAATGGAGACAACAGCCTGGCCTCACCAGTGTCACCTGGATGACGACTTTACGGAAAACGTTGCCTGATGTTGCACGGTCGGAGCTGGACGCTCCTTGGTCCGCGGCTCGGAACGGCGTAGCGCAACCGGGACCGCGGGACGAGTCGCCAGTCGCCCCAAAGTGGCAATCAACCTGGGATCTGAATTGGAGAATGCAGGTCCAGCCTGGGGCAATTGCACTATTCCGTCACGGAGCCATCGTGAGAATCTTGGCTGCCCCGCGGGATACGACCCCGATCGGCTTTTGGACCCCTCTGTATACTCCCTTCTCACGATCGCGAACATCCGTCCAACTCGGAACGTCGTGATCCTGGGGGAGGGCCGTCATATCCGGGAATGAGTATCATATAAGTAAGGCAACAATCGCTGATCTTTCCCGCTTCCCTTGCCTCGCTCTTCCAGGCGTTACAATCTACTTGTCATCCCAGCAAACCGTTGGAACGGCAGACGATCACGATGAAGGTTCTCTCACTCCTTCTTGCCGCGGCAAGCCCCATCTATGCCGCCTTCGAGTGGCAGAATGCTCGCATGGGAGGCGGTGGTGGCTTCGTGCCTGGCATTTCTTTCCATCCCAAGGTGAAGGGTGTTGCCTATGCTCGTACAGATATTGGTGGTCTCTACCGTCTCAATGCCGACGATTCCTGGACGCCTGTCACGGATTACGTTGCTACCCATGCCAAGTGGTGAGTTTATACCGACATAGTCTCACCCATGCCCAGCCAAACGCGCCATCATACTGATCGACAATGCCATGCAGGAACCGATGGGGAATCGACGCAGTAGCGCTGGACCCTGCTGATGCCAACAAGGTCTACGCGGCCTTTGGCATGTACACCAACAGCTGGTAGGACAAACATGTGTCTTATATACAATACGGGTCACTGACGTCAATAGGGATCCTAACAACGGCGCCATCGGTCGCAGTTCCGACAAGGGCCAGACCTGGACGTTTACCGACCTGCCTTTCAAGGTTGGTGGTAACATGCCCGGCCGCGGCACTGGAGAACGTCTCGCAGTCGACCCCAACAACCCAAACATCATCTACTTCGGTGCTCGCAGTGGAAATGGTCTCTGGAAGTCCACCAACGGCGGTGTTTCCTTCAGCAAGGTCACCTCCTTCACCAACGTCGGCAACTTCGCTCCTGATCCCAATGATGCCAACGGATACCTCAACGACCCTCAGGGTCTGACATTTGTCACCTTTGATGAGACCTCAGCCGTCTCCGGTGGCGCCACCTCCCGAATCTTTGTCGGCACCGCCGATAACGTCACTGCCTCCGTCTACGTGTCCACCAACGCCGGCCAGACCTGGAGCCCCGTTGCCGGACAACCTGGAAAGTATTTCCCCCACAAGGCCAGAATTCAGACTGCCGAGAAGGCTCTCTACCTCTCCTACTCCGATGGCACCGGCCCTTACGATGGTGCCTCTGGTTCCGTCTGGCGCTACGACCTCGCCACCAGCGTGTGGAAGGACATTACGCCTGCCTCGGGTGGTGATCTCTACTTCGGTTTTGGTGGTCTCTCAGTTGATGCTCAGAAGCCTGGTACCCTCATTGTCGCCACGCTGAACTCATGGTACCCTGACGCGCAGATCTACCGTTCCACCGACTCTGGAAACACTTGGTCTACCTTGTGGAAGTGGACCAGCTACCCCAACCAGGAGTTCTACTACAGCATCAGCACACCCAAGGCACCCTGGATCTTCAAGAACTTCATCTCCGTCGACACCAAGAAGCTTGGCTGGATGATTGAGGCCCTGGAAATTGATCCCCATGACTCTAACCACTGGCTTTACGGTACTGGTCTGACCGTCTACGGAGGCCACGACTTGACCAAGTGGGACACCACCCACAACATCACCATTGAGTCGCTTGCCGACGGCATCGAGGAGTTCGCTGTCCTTGAGGTTAAGTCTGCTCCTGGTGGTACCGAGCTGTTCTCTGCTGTTGGCGATGACAGCGGCTTCACTTTCCCTAACAAGAATTCTCTGGGTACCGCACCCGCCACCGTCTGGGACACTCCCAGGTTCACCTCTTCCACAAGCGTTGATTACGCTGGCAACAAGGTCGCCAACGTCGTCCGCGTCGGTAACACTGGCGGCACTGAGCAGGTCGCCCTCTCCGGCAATGGTGGTAACACCTGGTACATCCACTACGGCGCTGGCCAGGTTGCCTATGGTGGCGCTGTAGCCCTCTCCGCCGATGGTGATGTTGTCCTCTGGTCCTCTTCCAACCAGGGCGTCCGCCGTTCCCAAACTCAGGGTACCTTTGCCGCCGTCTCTAGCCTGCCCAACAACGCCCTGATTGCCAGTGACAAGCGCGACAACACGGCTTTCTACGCTGCCTCTGGCTCGACCTTCTACCGCTCGACCAACTCGGCCACGAGCTTCAGCACCGCCGGCACCCTTAGCGGCGCCACCGTCATCCGCGACATCGCTGTCCACCCCCAGGTCGCCGGCGACGTCTGGGTGTCCACAGACGCCGGAATCTTCCACAGCACCAACGGCGGAGCCTCTTTCACCCTCGTCTCTTCGACCGTGATCAACACCTACCAGATCGCTCTCGGCCGCGGCGCTGGCACGACCTGGAACCTCTACGCCTTTGGCACCGGCCCCCAGGGCCCCAAGCTCTACGGCAGTGCCGACCTCGGTGCCTCGTGGACTGACATTCAGGGCTCCATCGCCTGGGGTTCCATCGAGGCCAACCGTCTCGAGGGCAGTGGCAACAACGCCGGCCTTGTCTACGTCGGTACCAACGGCCGCGGTGTCTTCTGGGCCCAGGGCACCATCTCCGGTGGATCCGTGCCCCCTCCCGCGGGCACGACCACGACGGCTGCGCCCCCTGCCGCTACGACGACCACCAGGGGCACGACGACTCTGACATCGACGGTGAGGGCCTCTACCACTGTCGTGCCTACGACCGTCGCCACGACGACCAGGGCTGCCACCACCACCGCTGCCGCGCCACCGGCCACGGGCACAGGTGTCGCGGCGCCCTGGGGACAGTGTGGTGGACAGGGATGGACCGGTCCCACGCAGTGCGCTGCCGGATATACGTGCAAGTCGCAGAACCCCTGGTACTCGCAGTGCCTTACTTAAAGGGCTCTAAGAGAGAAGATTGACGGGTTGAGAGCTGTGGCCTGACTGGTGTGAAGCGGGACATGTGGAAAAATAGCTATGCCATGTCGCAGCCAGTATATTACTGTCTAAAGCCTACTGATTTAGGGCTTGGGGTTGGCCTGCATATTTCGAGACTGAAACTTTAATCCCTTACCAAAATGGCCATCAATTGACCTCCTTCGCACTGGCCACTGCTTTTGGTCGGGATATGACTTGTCATGATCTGCCACCGTATAATACAAATAATTATGGCTGTCACTTGGCTGACACAGAATGCTCTCAGACGATAGGGGACCTGTGCGACGGTGGCGCCGGATACAAATGAGCTCGCAATGGCCGCATACTAGGAATGCAGGTTATGCACAACAGGTCAGCTGATTCTTGGTGACCCATCCGCGTTTTTGGGGGGAAAAGCCGCATCGGACCTCATCACTCTTCGAGGTGCATGTTCATCAAAGGCCGATACGATTAGACTGGCGCACAAGTGGGATGATGTTCCAAGATGTATCTTCTTCACATCAAACCTCATCCTCGCGATCCTCGCACGAACCCCTCGTTCAAGTTGGAATTCTTCCAGGATAATTTCCCCCCATACGCAATTCTCTCTCACAGGTGGGGTTCATCGTCTGACGAGGTCACTTTCCAAGAGATTCAGACCGAGGATGAGGCGGCTAAGTCGAAGAAGGGTTATGCAAAGATCCAGGCTTGCTGCGCTCGAGCGTTAGACTACCACCTTCAGTATGCCTGGATCGACACATGCTGTATCGACAAGTCCAGCAGCGCAGAGCTTTCCGAAGCCATCAACTCCATGTATGCCTGGTATGAAGCCTCAACCATATGCTTTGCATATCTCGACGATGTTCCCATGGCAGGCTCAATCGAACTGCATGCTGCCAACTCGCCCTTCCGACAGAGTGCCTGGTTTACACGAGGTTGGACACTACAAGAGCTCATCGCCCCTGCTGAAGTCTACTTCATCAGCAGCACATGGAGCCGATCTTCCTTGGGATCCAAGACCTTGATGGATTCCTTACTCGAAGAGATCACAGGGGTTAAAGCTGAGATCCTGCGCAACCGCGGCAAGCTGGATGATGCCAGCGTAGGAGAGCGGATGTCGTGGGCGTCGAGACGCGTGACCACAAGGATTGAAGACGAAGCATACTGCCTGATGGGAATTTTTGGCGTTTGTATGCCGGCAATCTACGGCGAAGGCCGCAAGGCTTTTCATAGGCTACAGGACGAAATTATGAGGACGACTCCGGATCACACGATGTTCGCATGGTCCATGCCTCACGGCCTGCCCTGCCCAGAAGACATCGGCATGCTTGCACCTTCGCCTCGCATGTTCCGCGATTTCAGCGGCCGCCGGGTAGTTGACCACAAGACATTCGTCAATACATTCCCACACAGCACCAATCGCATGAAGCCTGATTATAGCATCACTAACTTTGGCCTGCACATACACCTACCATTAATGAAGCTGGACGAGTTCTTTGAGGGTTATTACCTCGCATTTTTGGCCTGCTCTCCTCTTCCGCAGGCACCTTTTCCGCAGGTAGAGACGCGGCTACTCCAGTTCGTTGCTATCATTCTGCGGCCTAGGACTGACCGACCAGACGGACATTTCTACCGGACTCGACTCGGAACGATTTCCCTCCCGTACTTCACCATCTCAAAGAGGCAAGCAGACAACATGGACAGCATGATGTTATGGATCTCAGTGGGAAGCAGCGGCATGCCTCGCGCGAGGATCGGGGCTACGCTTAGCTCAAGGAAGACAACGCCCGGCATAGTCACCTGTCTGTACTCGACAGACCCCAGGACTCTGCCCATTTTCCAACCACATCATGCTGTAGAACAAAGACCGACGCTTGTCAAGCCGACTGATCCGGTCCACGATGAGCATCTGCGCCTTCTTCGGACCACGGCTCACAGCTACACATCAATGATTCACGGCATGTATGACGTTCGGGAAGATCACATGCAATGCGTGCTGGATTTCTATCCTGATGGCTACATTGTCCTGACCATCCCGCCAAGTCTGTATCCTGGGCAGCACCGTCATGTACTCGTTGCGGTAGGTGTTCGTGATGGACGTCTATGGATGGCACAAGAGCCTACGCCACCAGATTTTGACTTTGCGGCAACATCCTCTCCTGAAGCGTACGCCAGATTTGATTGCTATAATGGCAATTCAGTCTGGTATACCGCGCCTCACTTGGTGCAAATCACAGCGCCTCAAGTCAGCGGCTTCGAAGACCCGCGAGCTCAGGTCGTCGTGGGTAATGTTTCGATTGCGATTCACATTCGACTCTCCATATGACAAGCAGCATGTTTCTTCTGCATAGCAATTTGAGAGATACCATTCCCAGCTTCAAATACTTTTCAAAAACGGCATGATTCTATCCAGCATCCATCCTTGAGCCATCGTATCTGTGACGCCATGGTCGGACGTAGGATTCACAGCAGACAAAGAACTCACAACGCCTTGAGGGCATGCCTTTACCCAGCGCTCTAGAAGTTCCTCCTTGTCCACCGTCGGCGACACGAGCTCATCCTTCCCGGCAGGCATCAGCAGTACAGGCCTATCGAACCTGCCGAACGTCGTATCAAGTGTGTCGTCTTGTATGTCTGAAGAAAAGAAGTCGTCATCGCCTCTGCAGCTAATGTTAGCCTTCCATTCCAATCTGTTCAAGCCATGTGCCGTTGGCCCGGTCTACACATACCCTTTGGCGGCAAGTGAGTTCCACCGGTATGCTGTCACCGGGGATGAAAAGACGGGAGGGATTGAATCCCGAGGCATGGCGTCCTCATGTCTCCCCTGGGCGATCATCCTTTTCGCCGTAGCAATGGTGGCTTCGAGGTAGTCTACAGGCATGCTCATGCTTGCCGTCTCGCGGTCAGACACCGGAGATTGCAGTATGTACCCGTCCACGGGAGGAGTATCATATTTGACACGGTTCGTGTACTCGATGCAATCCTGGCAGCCTGTTCCTCAAATCGTTAGTCAAATTTCTTCAGACTGGCTCGGAGTATTGGGTGGCCTACCAGTAGAGACTCCCATTAGCACCATCTTGTTTTTTCCGAGGCTGCGCAGATAAGTGACGAGAGCCCTGATATCCTCGACATCGTTGGCAATGCTGGAAAACCCGAAGCCGGAGTATGAGCTCCGCATGCGGAACTCCCAGACGGAGTAGTCCAGCTCTGAGGCATCAGCGAGTCCCTGAGCCAGACTTCTTGGGGTCCGGCTGGTGTGTGGGCCGCCCGTGAGGCCGCCGATGAATATCAATGCATTCGAGGAGGCCTTCAATCCAATTTCATAGGCACAGGAGTCCGGAGTAGGTGACTGAAAGGGGTGGACGATGACTGCAAAGGGCTTGGTGCTCCCATGGTTGCTCGTTTGAGAGCTATCATTGGCCATGTTGAAGATCTGGCAGGCCTTGCCTGGATATTGGAGTAAATTTTGAGAAGGAATGCCGTCCTCATCACTTTATATATGCCAGGATTCTTCCTCGTCAGGACGCTCGTGGCCCCAACAGACAGGCGATCCTTCGAAACGCTCACATTAATACGAATACGAATCGCCAAGACAGATGAGGACTTTGTCCCAGCCCTGGTCGCCGCAGCATAGGCTGAAAGGTCCCATCAGCAAAGGCAGATCCATTCTGGCAAACCTTTGAGTACAAAAATCGGTAACTCGCCTGCGGGTCAGACATTGCCATGGCATCCCATCTTTGGTGGGCGCGGTACGCGGTCCCGTTATGACCGTCTTTAGACACTGGCAGGGGATACCCTCTAGCTGCAGTGTAAAAACTCGGAAGAAGACTTACGGCTTTCAAGGACAAGCTTTTCTGTATCTCGAAATCGGGCCTTGTTTGCTAGATGATTCATGATCTCTAGTTCTATGGTGAACTTCACTATAACTGTAGCGAACTCATGTAAGAGTAGTCGTAGGATTCGAATCATGGTCGACTTTAATATACGATTTTATAACGAGCTGCTTGTATTCTAGGTCAGTAGATTGTCACCCTTGAGCTTCCATCCAGTAGAGAGGCTGAGGTCTGGTAGCATTCTGCTAGAGATACCTTGATGGCCAGCGTCTGGATCGAACTCAGCCATTTGAGCTTTTGGTTCCCGACTCTGCAAACCCTATGCGCCGTCATGATGCGCCGTGCCATACTCTCCTACGAATCAGAAACTCCTTGAGCAATTGATGCTGCAGGTTCAGCGCATGAAAAATCACTGAGCGTCACGGAGATGTGGAGTTCCAACGGCAGAAAGGCTGGTGGCTGAGGGGTGAAGTGAGACAACGCGATGGGCGATGGCGCTAGATTGAGCAAGTTTACGCCGACTGACGCTAAGGGCCCTCCGCCCAGCGCAGTGATTGGCCTCTGGTGCTGACTGTACACTGGGCGGCTCGCGCCTGCCTGCACCGGGGCCAGCCTCAACCCTCGGTCGATTTGTCGACGTGAGAGACAATCCCTCGACTTGACATCTACATCCTACGATATTCATCCTTCAGAGGCACGTTTCCGACCAGGCGCAGAACGTGACTTCATGCGACCGACGCCGGGGCACTTGCGCCCTCCGTCAACGAACAGACACTGCCGGGTCACTTCAGACGACGCCACTCATGGCCCCACAGGCATCAGCCCGGAAAGGGGCAGTCTCTAGCTTGGCTTTCGCCTTCGCCATTTCATGCCAACTTGTCGGGCATGCTGTTGCCCATGGCCATGGGAAAGAGTCGGCCCATGGTCTCATTGGTTATGGCATCCACATGTACGATCCTCCGTGTGCATTCGCCTGCCGGGACGCCATTGCCCCGCACCGCCTCAATTGCTCGACGGTTGAGCCGAAGCCCAGAGAGAGGCGACACGGCGGCCACGAGTCCAAGTTCAGGACAACGCCCGCGTGTTTTGCGACGGACGATTCCTATCTCGAGTCACTGGCTTGGTGCATTCAGGCTCGCTGCGATGAGCTAGAGACCTGGGCCATCGACAAGTTCTGGGCGTCCGATGTCATCTGGAATCAGGCCGAGCACCGTGAGACGCCAAGACTCGGCTTCCATGACGCCCTTTCCCAGGCCAGAAAGGCACCAAGCGAGGAGATGGAAGAGCATGAGGATTTGACTGGTGCGAAACTCGTTCCTGACAAGGACTGGGACAGGACCTTTGCCATGGTGAGGACGTTTGCTCGTGTAGAGACGTCCAATTCCAAGTACGGGTATGGCTATCGAGATGCCTTTCTGAGCATCACAGCACACTGACCAAAGCTGCAGAATCATCGTTGTCCTTACGGCCGTCCTGTTTCCCATCTTCATTGCTCTGTCTAGCAGCATCGCAAGCTCTACCAAACTCGAGGCATTTGTCCTGACTAAACTCATCTATCCCCCGCTCTGGGGCCAGCGCCACCTGGTCCCTCTTCCCCTCGATGTTGGACTTCTCCCAACCAGGGGCCAGATGGCCTTCATCAGCTTCCAGCTCCTCCTCAACTTCGCCCTCTCTATATTTGGATATAGCTCTGTCGGTTCAGCCTGGTCGGTGGACAAAGTCCGGAAACTGGAGTTCTTCGCGAACCGCGTCGGCATCCTCTCCTTTGCCAACCTCGCTGTCGCCATCCTCTACGCCACCCGCAACAACCCCCTCGTCAGGATCACAGGCTGGTCGTACAGCTCTTTTCTCCTGTATCACCGCTGGACGGCATACCTGTGCGTCCTCCAGGCCCTGCTCCACTCAGGTATCTGGCTCGCCCTCCACATCCACGTCCTTCCCAAGAAGTTTGCCCAGGCCTATTGGACCATCGGCACTCTGTCCATGGTGGCATGGTGTCTCATGATTCCGCTGTCTGTGCTCTTTGTACGCCGGCGGTACTACGAGTTCTTCCTCAACATGCACGTCCTTCTGGCGTCGTTGTCTGTCGCTGGGTGCTACTACCACATCTACTTCAAGTTCAGCCACGCCTACGGCTATGAAAACTGGATCTATCTCGCCTCTCTCATCTGGGTGGTGGAGCGTCTCGTCCGTCTCGCAAAGCTGGCCAAGAATGGTATCCGCCGCGCCGCCATAACCGTCATTGACGACGAGTACATATCCGTCACGGTTCCCGGCGTCAAAGCGACGGGCTACGCCTATCTGTATTTCCCCTCCCTCAGCTGGCGTGTCTGGGAGAACCACCCCTTCTCCATCTCGTCCTCGATACAAGACAGCACGGCCCTCGACTACGCACCCGACGCCGAGGGAGATCTCCCCTTCGAGCTCGTAGGCTCCGACTCGGAAGCAAGCGCCGATCTCGAGAAGGAACGCGCCAACGATTTTGACGACACCTCGCACGAGCAGCGTGCCCTCCATCCAGACAACATTCCGCTGACGCCCGTCACCCCCCAGACGCCTCACTCTGGCACGGCGCTCCTCACCCACGAAGAGCAAGACGATGACGAGATGGACCATGATGAGCGACCAAAGAATACATCGCCGATACCCTGCCTCACGTTCCTCATCCGTCGGGAAAAGGGCCTGACGGCAAGACTCGCCACCGCCTTGTCTTTACCCGTGCTTGTCGAGACGGCACCTCCACCGTTGTCGCTCAATCGCTACGCTACAGACCCGCATGTCGTCTGCGTGATTGGCGGCGCAGGCATCACGGCCGTCAACCCACTCCTCGCGGCACGCTCGAGATTGCCACATGCTCGGACGGCGCTGTACTGGGCGTGCCGGTCATCGGCTTTGGTGACGCACGTTGGTGTCGACAAGTTGACGGGGCCGGGGCTGGACGTAAATGTCCGCGTCGGAGCAAGGTGGGATGTGAGAGAGGTGCTTGGGCAGGAAACATCTAGAAGGGGGGGAGACATCGTGGTAGTCGTCAGTGGCCCAGCGGGTATGGCGGATGAGGTTCGGAGGGTGATTGTTGACATCAATCGGGGGCGAAGGAGGAGAGGTGTCTCGGGGGTGGTCAGGTTGGTGGAGGAGTGCTTCAGTTGGTGATTGTAATATTAATGAGAGACATATATAATGGTAGATGGACAACGGCGCAATTCGGATCATTTTTCTCACTTGGACGCTGGCAGGCGACCTGGCTTACCTTGATGTCCACCTCATGACCGCTCACTGCCAAAGACGACTTAGACCACTTCTCTGACAACCCTACGAAACATGACTAGATGCGGATCGGGTAATAAGCTCTTTCGATATCGATACCCGGTCACCTCATTTCATCATCACCAGTGCCAGACCCCGGCTCATAGATCTGACTCGAGGCTACAGCGGTTGAAGATTTGGTTGATGCATGACGCGAGTCGCATGCACGCAGAAGGGAAGAGCAGACGCGGTAATAAGACATTGGCAGGTCCCCGAACTTATTGTCTCAGCGAACGGGTTACCGATCTCCCACCATAGCAGCCACATGGATTGGTCCCGTCGTACGAGATCGCGCATTAAAGTAAGAATGGCTGGCGTACGACTTGGGGAGACTCATTGTACCCATGCTTCGTTACGGGTGCTGAGCAGAGAGGAAACACAGACCAGTCTCGGCTCCCAGGATCGGCGTTTGGTGGCGGCGCGGAGTGAGACAAGCGCAGGCATTGTTACGCTCGAGGACAATAGCTGCTCAGCGTAGGTGTGCATCTCCCAAAACCTTGAAGCATCACCTTTCACGTGAATAACCTTCATTATCTCTTTCCCTTACCTCGTGCAAATGGCTGAGTCTTTGGACACACTTCCACATGCTCATCAAGATCGACATACCGAGGTCTTGGCTCATCGGCCACACACCAACTGCAGCAAAACGCGAGACATCAGGGCACGTCGAGAAAAGGTTCAAACTGCCCGCATGCCAATCTGTCCCAGTGCGGCCATGATTGGCCGCCCCCAAGGCCAGATCACGGCTCCAAATGAGGGGTCAAGCACAGCATCGCCGTGAACCAAGACCCCTGCCGCTCCCCTGGTAGTCCCATGTAGTGTAACTTTATTCGAGCGTCAACACTGGCCCCTTGGCCCTGTGCCAAGCCTCTGAAAGCGGCATGCCTATGGGCCCTTTGCTGAGGCTAGACCTCCCATAGGACAGGCACAGGGCCGCCATGAGGAACACGGGCGGATGGCAAACTTGTCTTGGGTTATGGGGGAGGCTAGCGGGCGGTGCACCCTACCACATGTAGAGATGCCTGCCCAGCTCAAGCTTGGCATGCTCTCCTGGTCACACAGGAGAGGGTCCCCATGAACATGTGCACGCATGCCCCCCCTCTTGAGCAAGGGCAACATAAAGCAACAACTTGGTCTCGCCTCTCTTCCCAATTGTGCCCAATGGCGTTGACCTTCTGACTGGCTGTGTTGCTGTGTTGTCTCGAACATCATTCTTGGATTTGGGCGTGACTTTTAAGGATTTCACTGCATACCTACCTCAGGGTCGCCTGCAGGCTGGTCACATCCTTTGTTGCTCCATTTCCTCAACGGCGCGCGAACGACGTGCCCGCAACCCTATTCGCGATGGAGGACAAGAAAGTCGCCGCCGTCGAACAGTTCGACAAGGTTGCAAGTAATGGCAGTGTCTTGACGGCACCGCCCGAAACGAATGAGTTCACACACCTCAAGCTTCGACAATCTCTCTGGAAATGGCGTCGCATTGTCTTCTATTGCATGGGTATGACCTCTGCCATCCTCATGTACGGATATGACTATGTTATCGTTGGCACAGTCTCCGCCATGCCCAGTTTTCAGTCAGTTCATCCTTCGTGCCCAGTACCAACTGACTACAGCACCAAACATGCTGACGAACAATGCAGAAAGGACTTTGGCTACCAGCTCGACGGTGAATGGATCCTTCCTTCTCTATGGCTCGGCCTCTGGAACTTTGCCTCACCGGGCTGCTCCATGATCGGCGCTCTCGCTGGCGGCCTCTTTCAAGACCGCTATGGTCGCCGCGGGTCCCTTGCCGTCGGCTCCTTCCTGTCGGCCATCGGCGTCGCTGTCTGCTTCGTCTCGTACCTATCGGGGAATATAGACACCCGACGCGGCCTCTTCCTCGCCGGCAAGGGATTCCAGGGCGGCGCCATCGGCATGGTCATGGCCACGACGCAGACGTACATGTCGGAGGTGCTGCCGCCGAACCTGCGCGGCCCACTGCTCGCCTTCTTCCCCATCTTCACGCTCCTCGGCCAGCTCGTCGGCGCTGGCGTCATCTACGCGTGTCTCGACCTAAGCAACGGCTACACCATTTGCTTCGCGACCCAGTGGCCCTTTTCCGCCCTGCCCATGATCATCGCCTTCTTCATCCCCGAGAGCCCGACTTACCTCATCCGCAAGGGTCAACACGACAAGGCCCTCAAGGCGCAGACGCGACTCGACGAGCCCGGCGCCGACACGCCCGCCGTGCTGGCCGTCATTCAAAAGAATATTGAGCACGAGAGGGAACAGGCGCAGGCGACGTACACTGACTCGTTCCGGAAGCCAAATCTCCGACGCACTCTGATCGTCATGTTTGCAAACTTGTTGCCGCAGCTCTTTGGCCTGACGCTGCTGTCCAAGTCGAGCTACTTCCTCCAGATTGTCGGTATGGATGACGACAAAAGTGTCATTCTGCTGATGCTCGGCATCGTCTGTGGCCTGATCACCAACATCGTCAGTATCTGGGTGCTCTCACGGGTAGGTAGGAGGAAGCTTCTGCTCATCTCGTTGAGCGTTGCCTCTGTGCTATGGGCGGGTATGGGTATCTGCGGCATCTGGTCTGGCGAAGTCGTCGTTGCGTAAGTCGAACCCCTTCTAACATTCATTATTGTGCGTCGTGACCAGGCTGACCCAGCAAACAGATATACTGCAGCGTCCATGATTGCTGTGGTGATCACCACGAGTTTGGGTGCCTGGCCCTGCTCCCACGTCGTCAGCGCCGAGACGTCGGCTTTGCATCTACGAGCCAAGGCCCAGGGCATCGGCTGGTTTACGTCGGGAGCTGGTAACTCTATCTTCGGCTTTGTGCTGCCGTACATCTTCAACCCCGATCAGGGCAACCTTCGGGCGAAGACAGGCTTCGTGTTTGCTGGCTTGTGTCTTCTCGCCGCTGGAGTTACATTCTTTGAGGTTCCAGAAATGAAAGGTCGCACCCCGGGTGAAATAGACCGCATGTTTGAGCTCGGGCTGTCTGCCAGACAGTTCAGGGCATGGCATAACCCAAGCGCAAGCTTGGACGACGGCGAGGGCGAGAAGCAAGATGGGGTCCGGGATCCAGCAACACCTGTTTAATACTCGGCTACTCCAATGATAGGCACTATCTGAATTATGATGAATTCCTTCCCCCTACGACGACGCATTCTTGATGCAACAGCCATATCTGAAACACCGCCACGTACCCTGACATGAAAGCCATCACCGTCGAATCTTCAGCAACTCCTGCCGCAAACCTGGCGACGTTACACTGGCAACCCTTCCATCCTCAAACTTGAAATCAATCTCATCGATTGGCAATCCCGCAAATCTCAGTCCATCCTGCGCGATCCACGTCTCACACTGCTTGGCAAAGATCCCAGTTTTGTTCCTTGACGAATGGCCCTCAAAGTACACCAACCAGCGGTCATCTATACCGACCGGGTAAGCCCTCGCATCAACACTGGAGAGATCTTCTCGTCCAGGAAATCCCAGCCAAGCATCGAGGACGCTGCCATTGCCGAACATCCACTCCTCAATCTTGAGCCCTGGACCATCGTCCACGACTAGAGTCAGCGAGCCGGTTTCGGAGGCGTAGGTACCACCATAGGTAGCTTCCGCCTGGGATCGCGTGACCGATTCGAGAGTTGGAATGAGGGTGCGGATCACAACATCGAGGAGGTCCCTGACGGCGGTAAATGCCTCCTGGCCAGCGGTATTGATGGAGAGACCGACACCATAAGCAGGCAAGAAAGCAACGTGCGCGGCGTAAAACGGCAGGTTTCCGGTTTTGCTATAAATCTCTATCGGGCGGCCGTCGGGTATCAGGTCGCTGGGACGATAGATCTCCCAAGGCATACCGACGGCTTCGGCAGGATTGGCAGTAAAGACGACTGGTTTGAGCCACATGGCAGTGTTGGCATGGGAGAGTTGCTCGTGGTTGAGGATGCTGCGGATGAAAGACTGCAAATCGTGTGGCGTTGAGAACATACCGCCGGTACTGTCGTAGTTAGCAAGTGGTCTAGTATACCACTCGAGGCCGCCGACGGGAATGATGCCGTTTTCGATAGCAGGCACTCTGGTGCCTGTGTTTTTGAGTTTGAGGGGTGCGGCGATACGGTCATTCAGGGCATCGGCGTAGGAGGAGGACGTAATGTTCTCGACAGCAAAGCCGAGGATTATGTAGGCAAGATTGCTGTATGCAGCGTTGGTGCCGGGCTGCCACGTAAGGTTCGAAAACTTGAGCCCATCAAAGAATTCTGCGCCCATCAGTATAGGTTACGTCAAATTGGCATGGTCTGCGGAAAGAACTTGCGTCTACGAGTGCAAGGAGTTTCGCCAATTTGGATTGCATCACAAGTCGGCAGTCCTTCGGGGGTGGGTATATTCGGGAATCCAAGCTGCGCCAGCATAAGAGGCGGGATCGTTGCGGAGATGTCATATACGAAGCCCAAGAAAATTAGTTTCATGGCTGATTCTTGTGCTGTGGGATGTTCTTACTGTCTTGGTTGACACCAGCGATCTGGCTTGCTAACATCCTCAATGTCGTGTCCTTATATTTGACGACGTTCTCCAGCTCTGGCACAAACTGCCAGACAGGCGAATCAAGATTGAGACCTTCCTCCAAAAGAAGAGACAACACGGTAAAAACTTTCGTCACAGATCCTAAACGGTAAATGGTGTCCCCATTAACTGTGTTGACGCCTGTATCGTTACGAAGCAGTGCTGTGTGGTGAAACTCGAAGAAAGTATCATCAGTTGTAGTGATCGCGATCGAGAAGGACGTTGTCGTGATGTTGAAGTCGTTTTGACAGGACTTGACGACATTTTCCAAACTTTTCTTGAGAGCTGTTGCTATTCTGTCGCTCGACCTGATCTTGGGGTTGGGCAGAACAGCGCCAGTGGGAGGGCAATGGGCGGCAACCCACGTCAGACACGACAGAGCTGCTAATGCTATCGTGACCTTCATGTTGTTTGTGGAGAGAGGCAGACCCTTGTATCCCTTCTACTCCAGATCGCGAAAGAGTCGGTCGTTTGGGAGGCTGAAAGGACGACTGCCAGAACAGCACTAAGGAGGTGAAACTTGCTTGCAGAAGTTGCAGCGGAGGATGCGGTTGCGGATGACTGATGGTAACCGATCTCTCCAGACCTGGTCACTTATATATCTACCAAGTGACTCTGAGTTTGTCAAATGTTCATCCTCCTTAAGGGCAGATTTCTCAAGGACGCGCAAGCTTAGGCGAAACAGTCCGAGTCGTCCAACTACAATGGTCCCACACGACAGCACTTGGGCTTCGCAAGTTCGGCGGCACTCACAGTGCCTAGGATTCTGGAAATCCTTCATCTAGGATTGGGAGGCTTTATGGCCGAGCACTTATTCGTCGGCTCGGTCTTCGACGCGTCACATTTAGAGGCCCAAATACGCCTTTGTGGGTTTTCTGCCCGAACTTGAATGACCAGCGCCGCGTAGCCTTTACATTATGCAGCATCAGCTTAAAGCTCCGAAGGCTTGAAGAGGATTTGGCGGGGGAGGGACTTTGTCTCAGGACAAATCCGAGAGGGGCTGTACAGCCCTTGCCTAGAGAGAGTGGAGACTTCTGAGATGCGAGCTGGCAAATGGGGGTAGGCCTGATGGTTTGCGAGGTTCGTCATCCTCGCACCTGTAATCCTGCGAATAAACCTAAATCTTGAGATCATCGAGCCTATTCCCTTAAGAACCACACTTCGCTTAGTTTAAAGGCAGGGGGTGCAAGTGAGAAGTGGCTTGCAGTCCTCGGTTCGCGCTCTTAGTTTCCTCATATATCGCTGCCTTGATCTCAATCGGCCTGCCTGGGTGTTCAGGGCAGGCAGGTGCAACAAACGGGCCGCGTACATCTTCATCAGGTTAAACTATAAATGGCCGACGACACCTGAATTCATATGCCCCGACAATCCTTCAGATCATGATTTCGTATTATTTTTTTCCTGGCGCATAGATTTACAAGAGTTGATGAACGAAAACGCACTCATGGCTTCCACTGTTTTGCCTTTAGTAGCACAACAGTGGTCTGCAGGATATCCGCTGCAGTCTCGCCTAGCGAAATGGCGTATTCACCACCTTGAATCACCCATTGCTTCGAGGCCTCATCAAACGACGCAAAGTCCTTGACTGAGACAAAAATCTCGGTTCTCTTCACCTCACCAGGCTGAAGACGCACCTTCTGGAATCCAGCCAGAGCCTTGATGGGCGTGTCGGTCGAAGCCTGCACTCTGCCAGCGTAGACCTGCACCAGCGTGGCACCCTCGACCCTTCCAATGTTCTTGACACCAACTCTGACGGCATAGCTATCGTTGTCATGCGGCGTCTTGGCCACTTCCATCGCGTCATACTCAAAACTCGTATACGAGAGACCGTGGCCAAAGGGGAAATTGACCTTGTCCTTCGTAAGGCGGTCAAAGTGGCGGTATCCCACAAAAACACCTTCTTCGTATGTCACCTTCAGCTGCCCATCGACGTACTCGCCGGGGAAGTTTCCATGCGCCGGCGCATCCTCGATCTTCCGGGGGAACGTCACAGGCAGACGGCCCTCGGGATTGACAGCACCAGTGAGCACGTCGGCGATCGAGTTGCCACACTCCTGGCCTGGGAACCATGCTTGCACGAGTCCTCGCACTTGGTCTAGCCAAGGCATGGCCACGGCGACGCCTGTCGAGTTGACGACGACCGTGTTGCGATTCGCCGCGGTCACAGCGGCGATGAGTTCATTCTGCCCACGTGGCAAGTTGAAGGAATCTTGGTCACGGCCTTCAGTTTCCCACTGGGGATCGTGACCCGTGAAGACAACTGCCAGGTCGGCTGCCTGAGCGATTCTCACAGCTTCGGCCTGGAGGTCGGCGTCATGGACTGACTCGAGGGAGAAGCCGACGCGGACGCCGCTGCGGCCTTCGAGGATCTCGAGGCCAATCTTGCGAGGAGGGTCACTCCTGATACGGAGTCGATGTTTCCTGCCGCCTTCGAAATGATGCCGGAACTCTTGCTCGGGGGCTGCCAGGAAAAGGGAGCCCATGGGGTCGCTTGAATTACCCGTCTGCTCCCAGATGAGCTTGTTATCGACATAAACCTGTGTCGGACCCAGGCCAGAGCAGGCGATGTAGTGTGAACCTGACTCAAGGGGCGTAAAGTCGGCAACGATCTCTAGGGCCCGCCACAGCGACTCTTGGGAACCGAGGGGCGAATACGCTGACAGGGTCTGGCCGTGACTCGTCTTTGAGGGTTCTGACCTGCCGTCTTCAAACAGCAGACGCGTGAAGCCTGGTTGTCCATCGAGGCCGGAAACCGCGCCGCTGCTGCCGTCCTTGTTGATCGGTGCCAAGAGACGTTCGCGGTGGGCTCCTTGCGCAAAAGAGAACTCGACACCGTCACCGAGGGCGGCACGCAAGCCGTCCCAAGGCGTCACCTTGTAGTAGGCGTTGACAGCGGCGCTGCCACCTCCGTGCGCGAGGGCGTCCTTGGCAAAGCCGATGAGCGCGACTCTCTTGCCCTTAAGTTCCTCCTTTTTCAGAGGCAGAACGCCATCGTTCTTCAGAAGCACCATCCCTCTAGCACCAGACTCTCGTATGGTTGATCTCATCTTGGGCTTGTCTGTCGACACGCCCAGCTCTTGAGGGTCTGACTCGTCTTCAAATGCCTTGAGTTTGAACGCCCACTCCAAGACCGCCCTGACTCGGTCATCGATAACGTCTTCCGTCACCTGCCCCCTTCGCCACTGCATCCTTCACGGCTTGCAGTTTTCGTATCCTCGGCGGTCCAGGCATTTCAAGGTCTAGGCCAGCATTAAGCGCCGCAGCCACGGAGTTTGTGCCGCCCCAGTCACTCATGACAAGCCCTTTCCATCCCCACTCGCCGCGCAGCACCGTTTTCAGCAGCCACTCGTGATTATCACAGTGCTGTCCGTTGACGTGATTATACGCAGTCATGACGGCCCAGGGCTTTGCTTCCCTGACGGCAATCTCGAAGGGTTTGAGGTAGATCTCCCTGAGCGTGCGCTCGCTGATGGTCTCGTCGACAGTGGTCCTCTTGGTCTCCTGTTCGTTGGCGACAAAATGCTTGATGGTGGCGCCAACACCGCGCTCCTGCAGGCCGAGAATGTACTGTGACGCCATTTTTCCAGCGAGAAAGGGGTCCTCGCTGAAGGACTCGAAGTTGCGGCCGCCAAGTGGATGGCGGTGGATGCAGACTGTCGGGCCGAGCAGGACATGAGCACGCTTGCCTCTGGCTTCAGCGGCGAGGGCGCGACCAGTCCGGCGCGCGATGAGGGGGTCGAAGGTCGCAGCGAGAGAGCAGCCAGCTGGGAAGCAGGCCGAGCGTATCAACTCATCCGTGGCCGCTGAACGGACGCCATTGGGCCCATCGACGGATTTGATGGACGAGATGCATTTTAAGGGAATGTCTGCTGATTCGGAGAAGCTCTTGCCCGCAAGCAGTGTAATCTGGTATGCAAGTCAGTGATTCACTCTCTATTGATAGCCCCGTACGAAAGGCTATGAGACTGGATGACCAACTTTCTCGTCGATCGTCAGGGTCGTGAGGACAGTCTCAACGTCCAGCTGCGAAATATAGCGGCCCATCTCGACAGCTGAAAGACGATGCGCGCAACAATGACGATGCGACAGCTGTTGGTGGTGAGCGTGACTGATCAATCAAACAGATGATGATCTTGTTCGCTCTTCATTTCCCCTCATACCATCGCTCAAAGGGCCACGAAGACCCTTAAGACATCTAACATTGTGGATGTTCCTTCCGAAGATGGTGGCCGTTCCGGCGCAAACCGTTCTGGATTCCAGCGAGAATCATAAGGTTGAAAATAGGCTGGAAGCGCGCCCCGGGTGTCGTGCAGAGAATTCTGAACCCCCCTCGGATCTCGCTTCCCGTAGTGGGTGTGCACCAAATTCTCCGCGCAATGACCCCTAACTCTGACCCACGAGCACTCCAGGAACACCAGCAACCACTGGCAATAACGTCCGACCTCTCAAATTCGGTTGGATCCTAGCTGTTCCGCAAATGTTCTGCATCTACCGTTCCGCAGTTTTGAGTTTGGATATATCATCTCCGACAAGCCCCTAATTGGGTCAAGTGGTAAGGCGATCAAGATCTACGGTTTGAGGCTCTTGGTCATGTGGCTCATAGATGAACCTTGCCGTCGAGCCGCGAAGTCTTGTCTACAGAGAGGACGAGTCACATTCTATTTGGCATGCATCTGGTGCTTAAGCTGCAATGCAAAGGGTTCATTGTCCATCATTAATATAATTTTGAGACGATACTACATGTGAAGCATCGGGCAATGCTGACGATAGGCTTGGTCAGCCCCTCCCCCGAACTCTGCCACTATTGAACCTTCAAAACATTGAGCTCTACTACACTTCGTGCTTCACTCCAGCCACTGATTCCACGTGCACATGTGACAACCATCCATCCTTGCTGGTGTCCCAGGCAGCTTGCCGAATACAGGGCCTCGGAAAGGGCAAAAGGCGAGACAGGGCTTTTGAGATTCCCCTCGCTGATGGCTTCAAAACAATTGTTTGTCCGTAGATTTCGCCAAGTCCTATCCCTTTAGGCCCGAGAACGGTCTCGTGAACTTTGGAGCCAGTAGCCAGCTAGACCGCCTACTTGAAGACTTTTGCTGATATAGCGCGATCAAGCGACGTCACATCGCTGGCCTGGAAGTTCAAATTTGACATTCTATCTTGACGTTCTCAATGAGGGGACATCCTTGACCATTGTATGCGGGCCTCAAAATAGAATCATATCACGGCTGTCCCGATTCAATCTAAACAAAACCAAAGGCACCTCTGCTGCATAGCTTGTGGCTCACAAAGCTGATGTGCTGACGGGGACATGACTCATTCACTTCTTGCACGAAATGACTGGCGCAACTCTCGGTGTAGTTATCTTCTGACTTGTGTGAAGTTTTGAAGCTCGATCCAGCGATAAAGGACTGTCGATAGGCGGGGTCAGGTTCTCGATAACGATGCATGATGACCTTGAACATCACCGCAATGTTCTATGAGCTGTTCGATGTGGGTCCGTCCATGGCAGAGACTTGAAATGATGAGATGCAGTCTTTCTCCTACTCATTAAGATGACTTGCATCGTTGGATTAATCACGGTTGCACGACATCAGTACAGTTTCAAGCAGGAAGAGGCCATCCTCCATGGAAGATAATGTAATACTGATACTGTGGCTCAGAGTCCAACTACGGTCATGATAGGAAGCAAATCTTTCATCGTCCTACTACTTTCTTTGGTTTTTCTCCTCTTTTTGATAGGTTTAGATAGTTGTATAGTTTTCCTAATCAACTTTGCAGCCGTAACTTGCCGGAGATGTGCAGACGTGAAACCTTCGGCTTTTGATGTCGGGTTGCGTAACAGCATGACGAGCAATCCAGCCAGACTCAAGAAGTCCGATCCGGCAGGTCTTTCTCAACAAGATAGAAGATGCGAACTCAAAGCCAAAGTACGGGGAGAAATCAGGCTACCATGTGGAGAATAAATGGATATAATTCAGAAATCCACTGTGGTCCTGTCAACATTGCCAGCTTCGCTGTTCGGTTGGCATCTCATTCGCGAGATTGGATCGTTATCCTACTTTAAACAATTTGAAGCTTACGCGACTCATTGACTCTCCTTTCCGTATCTAGGTACATGAAGCTCTCCATAAAACCCACTGTTATCACGTCAATTATTTCCATGGCGGTAAGCATCATCGGAAAAGATCGGACTTGGCGATATGTAGCACAGGGGAAAAGAGCCACCGTGGAGTAAGGGTTGCCGCGGTAATACGAAACATTTGATGCCTCACGACGAAGACAAAGCTTGTTGCTCGAGAGAGGGGGGCTAATTCATTGCTTGATTGGACACAAGGACCATAAAAAAGAGAATAGTTATGTTCTCGGCAATAGAGCTCCGCGCAACCACCCGTAGATCTTTCGTCTTGGTATCGCACTACGGTGGTTTTTCTGTTCTCCGTTCATAGATCAGGCGTACGTCACGTCTTTAACTCGGAAGCCAAGTCAAACATAAATGGGAGGTGGTATTGCAGATTGAGAGTCAGTCATGCCCGACTCCTCCACACCCACTGCCTGCCGCGATGGTATCATCCCACCTGAAGTCTCAACCGCCTCTTGGCCCGGTGTCATGAGGCGCTCACAATTGGTCGATCTTGATACTTCGATCCACGGTTGCAAGTCAAGATGACGGCGGGGTTGGTGCTCTGGTTGGCACTTGGCAATGGATTGGCTTTGATGATCTGGGGTATGTTGCCTTGGCACACCACTCTCCACTGCTTGGCAATTCGGTGAGACACGACGGGTATAGACGAGATGACGTCGAATATCTCAAGACCGCCTACAAATCAATTGAGTCCCGCGCAAATTTTCACTGGCCAGGTGACCTTGGGCACACAGACCTCATCTTGCGTTCTTCTTTTGCTATTCGGCACGACTTGTCATCGATATGTCCGACAACAAGGAGGCTCAGCCTCCGCATATTGGTGGAGAGGCCGCTGCCCAACCGACACCCGGGACTCAAACCCATAGCACAGAGCATCTTGAGAGTATCCCGTCACACACCGTCACGCAACAGGAGCAGGAGAAAGCAGATGCGTGTCTCGATATCAATCATGTGGCTAATCTCGGCCTTGAGAACTGGGAAGACCTTGAGAAAAAGGTTGTCCGCAGATTGGATATGACCATGCTGCCTCAGCTTTGGATTCTCTACATGTTCAACTATCTCAATAGGGTCAATATTGCACAGGCTCGACTGAACACCTTCGATGAGGACCTTGGCCTGGAAGATGGAGATTACCAAGTAGGTCAGATCTGAAAGAATTCACGACGATTAAACTGACAATTCCCAGACGGCCGTGGCTATCCTAACTGTGGGATACATGTTAGCTCAGCTGCCATCCAACATGTTGATCACCCGTGTTCGCCCGGCTGTTTACCTTCCCACCGCCGCCATGTTGTGGTCTGCCATTTCTGCCGCAACGGCAGGGTGCACCAGCGCTGGGGGCCTTCTAGGTGTCCAATTTGTTCTCGGAATCATTGAGGCACCTCTGTTCCCAGGTGTAAGTCTTCCCAGGACTTGACACCGCCAACCTCTCCGCTGATACATTGATTTAGGCCGTGTTCCTCATGTCTTGCTGGTACACTCGTCGAGAATTGGCCTTGCGTACCGCTCTACTGTACTCTGGGTTAGTCCTCGCGCAGGCCTTCTCCGGTCTTATTGCTGCAGGGGTTTTTGCAGGACTTGACGGTGCCATGAACCTCGCCGGATGGCAGTGGCTTTTCATCCTCGAAGGTGCCGCCAGCGCCTTCTTTGCCTTAACAGCGTTCTTCATTCTCCCGAACTACCCACAGTCTGAGAATGGCAGCGCCATGTGGTCGATGACTTCGGATATGCGCAAGGTCGCCGTCGCTCGCATCCTTGACGACCGTGTTGAAAAGTCAGAAGGCTTGAGCGTCTGGCACGGCCTCAAACTCGCCGTAACAGATGTCAAGTGTTACATCTTCATCTTCATGAACATCTTCATCACCTCGTCGTACGGATTTAATAACTTTTTCCCCACCATGGTCAGGGGCTTTAACCTCGGTTCTGACAACGTCTCACTGCTCCTGACCGCTCCTCCCTACGTCTGGGGCACGATAGTCTCGTTCCTTGTTGCATGGAACTCGGACCGGAAACGCGAGCGTGGGTTCCACATCATGGCCAACCTCTGCTGTTCTATCACTGGCTTTATCATCACTGTCGCCACGGTCAACACGGCGGCGCGGTACACAGCAGCCTTTCTCTATACCTCTGGCAGCTTCTCCGCAAACGCCCTGGTCTACACCTGGGCTGTGTCCTCGCTTGGGCAGACACCAGAAAAGCGGGCGGCGGGTGGTGCGATTGTCAACATCTGCGGACATATTGGCAACGTCATTTCTCCGTACTTCTTCCCTGATAGAGATGCACCGCGCTTCACCATGGCCATGATCTTACAAATCGTATTTGCATCGCTCGCTCTGACGATGGCTGGCGTCTCCAAGATGTATCTGAGGAAGCAGAACAGCAAGCTGCGCGAGTCGGCCGAGAGGCTTGGCAGGGCTTACAACCCTTTCACCACGTAGTAGCATCAACGTTCATAAGATTTAGCGGAAGCCAAAATAGACATGGCTCCCGAATACTAGAGGATTACGGCAGTACGACGCTCTACAAAACCTTTAAAAGTTCCAGCGCCAGGCAATGTATCATCCGTCTTCCTTTTATGATGTCAGTACTCTGCGCCATGGAAGCGTAATGTGGCACGCAAGGAATCATGGGTTTCGTAGATTAGGAAGGGCAAGCCTCCTGTGAACTCTGCCAACGTCAAGATGATATTGAGCCTTCTCCCCAATGGTCATAGAATGTATTCAAAGTATGTACATGAAGCACTGGCCCTGGAGGTCGTGGCCGTGCAAACCCTCTACATCTTGTTGTCCAGTATTTATCCAAGACAGCCATCATCCCGGCTAGGCCCCGATCCTCTGAATCAAAAACTGCGGCGCCGGCCCAGCAGCGTCGCCCGCATACCCGAAATGCGCCGGTCCAACCATCAACGACCCACGACAGACCATGTCCCCAGCCCGGCAGAAGACCCTCGTCCTCTCGACCGGGAACCCCGGCACGCGGCCCCCGGTCTGCGCGTTGCGCGTGTACCCGAACAGAACGACGCCCTGTACCTGGCTCTTCGTCCGCTGTGACGCACCGCCCAGCGCACCGGCCATGACGGCCGACCCCTGGCTGTAGCCGCCCGTGACGACGCGGGCGGACGGGCACTTGGAGGCCGCGAGGTCGAGCAGGCGGCGGGCCTCGGCGATGGCGGCGCCGGACGCACCGGCAGGCTGGAGGTTCGAGAGGAGGTCTGCGCGGTAGGCGCCGCCGACGCCCTGGACCCAGACGGCATTGCGGTATTGGGCTTCCAGGACGCGTGCCACGGCGGGGCCAGCGGATGTGCCCTTGTTCTCCTTGTCAGCTCTTCTCGTGATGACCATGGAGCAACAAGGCTGCTGTTTGTGTGGAGCTCACCATGTTGCCGGGCTCGCCGGTAGCGCGGGCATAGATGAAGATCACGCGGGGGCAAGCGGCGGAGGAGCCGCGCTCGAGGTCATTTCGGCTGGAGAACTGGCGGGCCTCGAGCGCACGAGGTTGCTCATCGCTGACCGGAAGGGCCGAAGCCAGGGCCGTGAATAGCGACAAGAGTGTGTAGAACTTCATTTTGAGGTTTAAATCTTCAAAAACGAGCCGAAATGGACAGGACTGAGCTCAGAGAGGCTAGCGACTGGGTATGTGGCGCCTGGCCAAAGATAGTGGTAGAATGAACGTGTGAAGAGACCGAGCCTCTGAGACCGAGAGAATCTCTCAGGTCGAGGCCGTCCAGGCCATCATACTTATGTCCCCACGACATCGCGAAAAGCGAACACGAACAGGGTGCCCCAACGCTCGAGATCCGAGCGCAGCTGCCATGACGCTGTCACATATCTTGACAGACTTGACAGACGTCGAAATCAACCTAGAGGAGACATGGGAAAAGCAAGGACGACTCCCGACCGCGCGCACGCGAATCGGGCTATGTGCCCCATCAACAAATTGGGTCATCTGTAGGGCACGGTCAATCAAATTGACTTGCTCGCCGACAGAGGGGCCTGGATCCTCTACAGGCTTGTCTCTTCCTGCTATTCAGCCTCCTCCGCCGCGTCTGACAGTACTTATTATACAGAAGCCGCAACAAAGGCGCGAGTCAATCTAGTCTCTATCGAGAAACGTCACACCAAAGATGGGATGGCAGGCTTCGTGGCACATGATTCACGGCTGGCTAGCTCGATGGAAGAGACCGATCGACTACGTCCGTGCTGCTGTAGAACGTCACTTTGGGTTGCCAACCTGCGCACGGTTCGCTGCAACACAAGGTGCTGCGTTTCAGGTATCAGGACATGGCTCCCGACGTGGATGAAGTTGCGAGAGTTTCTTTTGGAGAGCGGCGCATTGCCGGATTTGGGCGTGTCGATGGCGACGTGCTGCATCCTGTGATGCTGACGGGTGTCGCCCGGCATCTTCGTATCCCCGTGCAAAGCAGCACCCACGGACCATATGGTTTACGCTCAGAACATCAGGAATTCATCCCAGCCCCCATGGCCACGACCGCGTCTCGATCAAAACAGTCTTCTCTGGGTATTCACGCTTTTCAGTCTTAACTTCGTACACACACATGTTGAACACGGCAATCAACACACTTTTGCCACACATAGATCGGCATCCCATGCTCCTTACTCCAATCCACCAAACACAGAAGGAAAGTCGTAATCAGTATACGCATTTAGCTGCAGATCGAATGGATCCAGCGGCATCATGATGTCTGGGTCTTCAAAAGGCACAGCCAAGCCCGCGGCGTTGGCCTGGTGCGTCGGCACGACGTGAACCGACCCGTAGTGCATGCTGCCGTCGTCCTGCGGGGTGTAACTGCCGGCAAACGGCGTGCCGTACACCTGGGGCGGTGGCGGCATGTTGGGCGTGTTCAACGGGTGCCAGTTGGCACTCGTTTGTGAAGGTGTCTGCTGCTGCTGCTGGGGCGGCGGCGGCGGCGGCGGCAGCGGCTGTTGAGGCGGCGGAAGCTCTGCATCGAATGACGGCGTCGGAGCCGCAGCACGAGACTCGGGCGAGGTCGAATCGACAGGGTCGTCGGCCGGATCGATCTTATCGGGGGCGAAGACATACTTTGAGTGGAAGTGAACCTGTCGATCGTTGGGGCCGCTGGGGCTGGGCATACTGTTAGAAGATGGCCTACTCGTGGAGGGGGAGAGGAACTCACGGTGAGACTGATGGGCGGCTGCGCAAGCCCAACGTCGGCACAAGTCTCTGTATGTCGGCAATCTATGATAGTCAGCCAGGACCCCCTTGCAGCAGTCAGACAGCAGTCCACTTACGCAAGGCCGGAGCCAGGTATATGTCTCCTGGATGCGCCTCGCCATGCACAGCGCCTCCATCAGTTTGCCTTTGATGCTCACAAGACTGTGCTCGCCATGCTCCGGCAGCAGCCAGTACGCATGCTCCACGACCTTGACGCATTGATACAGAGTGATGGTGAGCGTCGGGCTGTCGATCAGACGGTGGGCGTCAAGATGGTACACCTGCGACCACATGTCACAGAGCTTGACGGCGCTTTCAATGCATGTTTGTTGGCAGTAGGCGATGTACTCCTGCGATGTGGCAGCCATGGCCTCCGGCGAGACCGTCTCCTTCATCCCCGGCACGAGGAACCGGTGCAGGTCACACCGACACAGAATGAGGGTTGAGTGCAGGATGATGTAGGCTGTCGAGTCGCGCGAGTGGCACATGAACATGAGCCTACTTGGTGTGAGTTGCAACTCTTCGGGAAGGTTCTCTCTGAAGGTTTGCAGCTCGCGGTCGAGGGACAGGAGCTCCTCTTTGGTGTTGGAGGGGCTGGTGCCACTTCGAATGACTCGTTTCGTATATCTGCGCAAGTCAGTCATGTGCAGCGCCACATAAAAGATGGATAGGGCTGCTCACCTGAGGATCCTGTCCCGTAGGTCCATCAACCTCATGCGATACGCGATAGCATTCATGTCGGCACCGGAGCTGTCTCCCTTCTCGTGCAAGTACTGCGACCTCGACGCAAGTCCTCGCTGGAAGTAGTAGTCGTTGCTCGGCAGCCGGATGTGCAGCCGGTGTGTCGGGCACACGGCCAAGTCTTCGATGCCACTCGAGAAGATCTTATCGAGAAAATAGATCCCCCACATCAGACGTCGCAGACACTCTCGCCGTACGGGCTCGACAGATGGTCGCTCATAATTGAGCCGCTTTGTGAAGGCCATGCGCGCCGCGACGGAAAGCAACGTCCAGACGTCCTCGGTGAACTGCGACGTGAAGCCAAACCTGATGTACAGCACCATGGTCTGCAGCTCGGCGACGGTCGTCGTCCCCAGGTTCGTCAGCATGCCCTTGCGCACCTCCCGCATCCAGGCATGGGGCACTGAGTCGTCATCCTCCTGCGCCGGTCCTATGAGCCGTAGACCCGCAGCGCAGACGGCCTTGAGCAGCTCGTTGTCGACCTTGCCTTGATTCCAGTCCGCCATCAGGGAGGCCTTGTGCAGGAATGGGCAGTCTACGAGGTCCGTCTTTTCAAAGTAGGCATCCAGGCACTGACGGATGATGTCCTTTCTGTCGAGGTCGAAGACTCTCGGCCGGTCGAGCAGGGCCTCATAGCGCACCGCCTCACTCGTGAAGCTGCCACGGCTTCCCGGCGTTGGGACGGAGCGTCCATCGGTGACGGCGCTAGGACTGGTCACAAGTCCGGCTGGATGTCTCGTAACAGCCGACGCCGATGCCGACGACAACGTGTGCCCGTGTCCAATGGGCAGGCTACGGCCCTGCTCGGCGTCGCCATAGATGCACTCTAGGTTGTTGGAAGCACAGCGAAGAGCAAGGCTGGGCGCCGGAGCACTTGGCCTTGTGCGAGCGACAGGGGACGCACGCGCGGCGTATACGACGGCGCTTGGTACCGGCCTGGGTGAGCTCTTCCTGGGGGCAGGTCCTCATCGAGGTCCTCGAGTTCAGCGCTAGCTCCGCCGGCGTACGAGCAGGGTAGGTCGAGACGCTCGCAGCGTAGGCAGCCAGACTGTCGGCGATCACATTTCACCTAAGAGAGAAAGAGCGCGCGCGCGACGGTCAGCAGGTGGTGAGCAACATGGGAGGATCCACGACCATCGCCAGTGCAAGCCAACACCATGTGTACACGAGACAACACAAGCCCAAGACAAGGGCAGGCCGAGACAAGGGGCAAGCCGAGGACGGCAGGCGGAAGTCGGAGTTCGGTGGAGAGCAACAGGAAAAGGAGCTTACCTTCCGGGCCCGACATTGGCGGCAGGCGAGCGGAGGCTCGGCGGATGAATGCTGGGGCGGGACGAGATCCGGGGGCATGCGGCCGCTGCCTGTAGAGGAGGGGGTTGTTGAAGCCTGCTGCGGCAGCGAGGGCTGGGTCGAGGCCATGGCTAGGCTAGGCGTCAGCTTGGACATGCGGCGCGTGTGCCTCGTGGAACCTCAATGAAAGGTTGGCGCGCTCACGGCTGCGTGTGGGTTTGTCCAGGAGTGTGAGGAGAGATGGGGGACGTGACGATCGGTTGCATGATCTGATCTCGGAGAGTGGTGCGATGGGTGCATTCGGCTGAATGAGGAGTTCTGAATTGTTGTGATGTGGAGGTTGGGACGAGACGATCCGAGGATGTCGGGAGCCGTGCGAAGGTCTCGATTAACACTGCTCTGACACACAGAATCCCGCTTTTGTACAGTGCGAGTGGCTCCGATCCGACCGTTCCGAGGCCGAGTTCCGTTTCCAGTCCCCTCCGTCGTTGCACAGACTCCGTTTGACACGGCTGCGGTTCTGCTGGAGCCGGAGAGAGAGCAAGAGACACCACAATGCGACATGACCCCCTCCAGCCTCATTCCCCTCTTCTAAGCCCCCAGAGCACGAGGCTGAGCCACTCGATGCTCCGGAGCCAGGGTTGTCCATGGCAAGGGCCTCGCATCTTGATGCTGGGGTTTAAGTACATGTCAAAGACTGAGACACACTACCCCTGGAGCATTGAACAAACCAGCGAGGCAACTTGATGAGGATGTACCGAATGAGATCTGCATCTATTGCTTGATGAGCCTACCTTATCCATCTGATTTCACTCCCCATGCTGAATCCTCAAAGAAGACACAAAGACGCTCCATCGGCTCTGCTTCACTTGGTAGCCATCTCAACAGAGTGGCCGTACGTACAGGACTGGCCACCTAGGTGCCTATGCCATGATACGTAAGGTAGTCTCTGTCCTTGAGAGGCGCGACAATGAACACCACGGATCGCAACGTCCGCCATCCCGCCACATGGGTCTCGCTCCCTCCGTCACATGTCCTACACCGATGCAGTTTGCGGTACATAAATTTACAATTTCTACGGGAACCGCGTGCTTGAGCAGACCACAGCAACTGGCGCCGTCCTAGCCATCAAAATCAAGCCGATCGGTGCCTTGGACCCCTCAGAAGCCAGCATGATGCAGTATGCTGCAACAAACGGCATCCTGGCTCCGAACGTCCGTGGCGTCTATGACATTGTAACCGCAAAGCCCATTGCCCGGGTGCTTGTAAGCGAACGGGTTCCCAGTGCGCCTTTGGCTGATGTCTGGCTGGACATGAACGACGCTGAGAAATCCAACGTCGAAGACCAGCTCCGCACGCAACTTGCTCGCATTCGCGCCTGTACGCAACTGTTTATTGGGCGAAACAGGCGCCAGCATACACGCAATGTTTTTGATCGTCTGCATCAGACATATTTTGGGCCGTTTGCCGACGAAAAGGCATTTGACAAGTGGTGTTTAGCCCGTCTCGCCGGCGGCCCTTTCGTTCGCTGGAAAGGCAGCCTTTCTTGGAGCGAGAACGACGTGATTCTCCTGTTTTTTTTTGGCACTGACACGCGGCGATCTAACCCCACGAAATATCCTGGTGCAGGGTGACATGATCACGGGCATCGTGGACTGGGAAAGAAGCGGATTTTCCCCCCGAGTACGCCGAATATGCGTTCGCTATGGGGGACAGTCACTGAGCCATGCAGAAAAGCCAGGGAATCTCTCTGTCATTCAAGTACATACAGGGAACCACTATGTACTCCACAACATTAGGTAGCCAGCACAGCTTCCCCATTATCATCATCCGAGCAGTGCAAGCCTGCCCCCTTTTCTCATCCGACTATCCCGTGATCCCAGATCGCGTGTGTCTTTCTCTCTCTCCGCCAAATATGCTCCTCAGGCTCTCATCTCAAACAAATTGCGAAATCATGAATGTTGCTTCGCCAGCCGCCTGCCGGCTTAAGCGGTAGAGGCGTCAAACTGCAGGGCAGTCGAAGCCTGGCCGGCCGCCTCCTTGTCGGCGTTGATGTTGTTCTGCAGCTTCTTCTCCTCCTCCTCGAGCTTGGCGGCGACGTCCTGGCCCTGCGCGGCCTGCGCCTGCAGCTTGAGCTTGGTGGCCGTGAGCTTGAGGATCTTGTTCTTGGTCTTGCCGTTGGCGAGGGCCTGGGCCTCGTCGCCCGTGGCGGCCTCGATGGCCGGGTTGAAGGCCTCCTTCTCGGCCTGGTTGCAGATCTGGTTGACGCTGTTAAGGAAGTCGAGATCCGCCTTGGCAACGGTCGAGAGGTCGGCGGGCAGGCCGGCGAGGGCGTCGAGGGCCTCCTGCTCGCCGTTGCCGGCGACGCCACCGCTGATGGAGATGGCGTCGTAGGTGGTCGTCGAGAAGACGGTGGCCTGGCGCCTGGCGAGGGGGCTGGCGGCGGCGAGGGCAGCGAAGCCGACGGTGATCATGGAGAACTTCATGTTGACGGTGGGTTGGGTGGTTGTTGTTTGGGGTTTAAGAGATTTGGCTTGGTAGGCTGATAAGTGAGAGAAGACTGAAATGCTTCAAGGATAGTTTTGTTCTGTAAAGGTGGATGAAAAAGAGAGTCGCTGACCCGAATAAAGAGAATGGTAAAAGTAGTACTTTGAAGAGATTCGAGCAGCACAGCTGTCAAGGAATGGAAGTTAAAGTGAGAAAGATGATGGTGGTGAGGATGGAGAGACAAGAAGAACAATTGACGAGAGGTATTCACCAAGTCTTAAATATCCAGACGATCTGGTCGATCGTCATGACTGTACTTTGGGCCTTGAATAGCAATGCCTCACCTCCATCACGCAATCCATGTCAATGTCACGCTCATCGGACGGCAGGCCTGGCAGGACTTCACACAATCTTCCTCTGGCGTCCGAGAGCCTCACCCTGACGTTGCAGCAGCGCCTGGCACTACACCACGTTGAGCTTCAGCAGCGAGACGATGTCCCCATTTGGGGTTGACAGACCTCAGGCCCTTGCGGCTCTTGGAGACCCTGGCCAGGAGGAGGCCCACCATCAAACGGTGCGTTGGGTGCTGAGACGAGGTTGAGTCCAAAAACAGGTAGCGAGCTTCGATCTCCCGGCCGAGATGGGCGGCTTTCTACTCCTCGCCCGATTCGGCGAGGCCGTTGAATGGTGGACTTTCACAGGTTGCTAGGGCCAGCCTCCTGTGGGTTTCATGATGTGAAGGCAGATCAGACGGATCAGGAGCAGGCCGGGTGGTGTCTCGTCGCAAAATAGCTCGCTAACCCCTACCAGGAAAGGTCTGCTGGCATACTGCGACGTTAGGATCTGGGTCGATGAGATGCGGGCACATCAGACGGATGGCTCGCAGGCCGAGCGGGTTTATGCGATGAGCCAAAGGTCGAATTGATGGTGCGGCACATCATGGAAATCAATTATGATCTGGTGATCACAAACTCGATCGACCATGGAGTGAGTGAGTTTGGATCGCAGTGAAGGAACACTGCCGATGCACCCACAGCACTATCACCACTGTTCGTTTCACAAGACGCCCCAACGGCATACCTATGTAGGTACCTTCAGCGCGCTACTTCAGTGCGAGGGATGTTATCTTGGGATCAAATCTGGCCAAGCTTTGCCAACATTAGCGCCCGCTGCTCACCCTAAACCCTCCGGGGGTTCTTGGGACAGACGACGGGCACGGGCGGAGAGCCGAAATTGACAAAAGGCCGCCCATGATCAGAATACAGAGAGCCTCCTGTTGTTTCACGACCCCCGACATTGGCCCAGCCCCCAGCCAAAACATAAGCATACCCAGCCTCTCTCCACAAGGAGAAGACCCTCCTCCTGGCCCCGTCTCCTCCCCCGTCAGCCCCTGAAGCCTCTGCGACGCTTCACAATACAATGTGTGTCAACCCCGTTTGGATATCGGGCTCAGGGCAATGGGCGCGCCGCGTGCTCGTCAAGGGTCGGGGGCTCAACACCAGTTCCCATGTTGCCCTGCCAAAACACCAGCACGGCACTAAAAGCTGGTCTTGGCCCTGGTGAATTGAGTTTCTCGGATCACAGACGAAGCAAATTGCTGGGCCATCGTCACATCACCTCGTCTCACCTGGTCAAGCTGCCAGCTCGTCTTCGCCGTCCCACCAACAATACCACCCGACTGGATCGGCTTGATGTCCTTTGAGCGCCAAGTTGAATAATTTCATTGGCATTCATCTCATCGTAGCTCATAATACAAAGTCGGTCTCATCCCAATCACAGTTCTCACAACACAAACGCGATAAGCCCCACGAAACCCCCCATAACCCCCATCACGATCCCTAGCTCTGCCCTCAGCGACCCAGCTCCTGAACACCCATTTTTGCCGTTCTTCGTTGAGCTGCCCCCGTTGCTGCCGCTACTGTCACTATCGCTGCTTCCGCCGCCACCATTACTCCCGCTCTTGCCCGACGCTCTCTTGCAAACTCCGTTGCTATCGCTCGTGGCCGACGGCGCTGACGGTGTTGTTGTCTTCTTCCCGCCTGAGAGCTTTTCCGCGCCAGATACGATCGTGATGGCCGTGAATGAACCTTCCCCTGTCGCAGTCGATGTTGCCTGGGCGTTGATGTCACACACGTCGCCATCGTCCGCGTCGCAAGTGAATGTCTCCGATCTGGTCCGTCAGTAACGTCTTCCAATCCCGACCCAGGCCTTCGAAGCAGTTGAGCAAGGAGAGAACCTACCCAAATTGGATCTTGACAGTCTCGGGCCCTTGCGTCAGGGTCACGCCCCGAAAATCTCCGCAGCTGGACGGATACGGCGACTTGAACACCGATGTGCACGCGAGCAAATACTCCGTCGAGCTCTTCTCCGGGACTGCCGTGATGACAGACGCATAGATGTTATCGCCGGCTCTAGTCGTGCGCGAAGGCAGCCAGACGGACGTCTTTGATGTGGCAGCCAAGGCCTCGCCCAGCACCGCCAACGTGGCCAAGATCTGTAGGGAAGGCGCCATGATCGGGTCTTGTTTGCAGTGAAGATATGACAACCTAACCATGCATCATTCCGTCTCGGCGCCTCGGCGCGCAGTTATATACTTCCAAATCGCCTTATATATACGCGTATGGCCTCAGTTTGTGGTGGAGGCCTCGCGCAAAGGGAAAGACACCGTCATGTCCCTTGTTGAGAACTCAGCCCTGACGAGCAGCGGCACAGCACCTACGGAGATTTGGTGGCGGCAGCTCATTGGTGATGCGAATGCAGTGCATCTCGCCTGCATAGCCCCCTGGTCAATCCTGGGGGCTTTGACGGATGAAGAACAGCCATATACGTCAAGCGGGAGGTGGTCTGCCTAATCTGGTCTCAATTCGAGTGACAATGTCGTCAGTGCTGGCAACCCCAGCCTGATTGCGCGGAAATCTTGCTCGTAGCTGCGATGATCTCCTCGACACAACCTCTGATTGACAAGAACCTACCGTCATTTTCGACTACGGAATCTCGATGCAGGTGAGACTTTGCCGCTTCACAGATCCACCATAATTTGGGCACAGAAAACTCACTGTTCGATCGCCGCCATGGCCGAAGTCGTCGGCCTCGTCGTCGGCCTTGTCGCTCTGGTGCCGCAATTGACGGCCGGCGTGAAGATGCTGCGCCAGATTCGCAACGCAGACGACCGCTTCCCTGTTGAAATAGACAGGCTTGCATGCGATCTCGAACTGCTGGTCACGTTCGTCGAGGCGCTGGAAGCCACGCCTGGCGTCACCGAGCCGGTTTTCCAGCGTTGCTGCGAGTGCTGCACGCAGATTGCCCAAGGCCTTGACAAGGTCAGGGGCATGGTCTCTTTGGTGACGACGGGTAGCAAAAGCAAAGAGTCATTAGGAAGATCACGGGCTTGCCGGGCTTGCGGACCGCCGTTGAGGCTCTGCAGCAGAATGTGACTAGAGCACAAATGACCATGATGATGTACGTCAAGTCCCGCAGCGGACGATCAACAATGCGATCGCAACGCTGAAGAGGTTGTAGGACATCTCACTTGCCATTACTCGCCGGCATGAGCCGGCTTAGTCTTGCGCCAATGTTACCAACACCTGTGCCTTCGCCAGTCATTGAGGACTCACTGGTGTCCTCATCCACACAAACGCTGGACAAGATAACTACGCTGGGCGCAGTAATGGGCCATGCAAATTTGGCGAATAGGCCTCAGCATCCGAGATGCGGCAGTGGCTCGACGAAGCATTGTCCTTGTTCCTGTCACCGAACGTCCAAGGTTTCTCGGCGCTATTGGGCGCTCGAGTACATCGCTTCCCCTACACCCTGTGACTATTCCAGGTGTCAGTCCACCGTCTACGGCGCCAGCTTTAGAGTCGCATTGACTCAAGTTGGCCTTCACTGGTCGGTCAATTTTCAAGCATACATCGCTCAGGAAGCAGGCAGCTTCACATTGCAACCAAGTCTTGTGCTGGAGAGAACTGTTCCGTACAATTCTCCAGGGTTCGATTTACTAAGAAGGTGTAGTAGATATGGTTCGGTGTCGCCCGAAGTAGCTCAGCAGCAGCTCCTCAAAATGGCACGAACCGATAGCTCGTTTAGAAATCATGTCAATCCATCAGGCTGGTCGTATCTTGAGGCTAGTAACATGTCACTACAAGTTACTAGATAGCTCTGCTGAACTATCAAAACAGGCTCTTTTGTATCTCGAATGGTCTCCGAGATTGCATGAACAACAGATCACCATGATAAAGTTTTTCTTCACAGAACTAAACATTACGAAAGGCTTATATTCTCCACGGTTAGTCTCGGATCTTCTTAGGGGCAGTTGCTGTCGCGTGGCGGCTTGAGACCTGACGTTGATAACGTAGCTTGCTGCCGCGACTGGCCAACTTCAGCAGACACAATTCTCGTAACAACTTGCTCAAGTGTCTGATCACCCTCGGCTTTGACCCCTCGGAGAGTCCCGCACCAGCTGCTCGATTTTGGCCTCGGCCATCCTTAGTCAAGATTGGAGGGAAGCATGCCGGGGCTGATCCATTTTCCCTAGAGCATCTCGCCATTCTTTGCCACCTGAGCCCCGGTGAGTCCCTATCGGTTTGATCGCAGCCCAATTCTGACGTGTTGTGCTATAGGCTTCGCCGAGATGACGCCCCTCCACGAGGCTGTCCTTCTCGGCGCGGACGGGCTTGTCGAGACAAGGACCTCTCGGTCGCCGGCTAATGAAAGGAACTTCCTTGACCAGACACCTTTGCATCTGGCTCTGTCGAACATCAGACATATGACAGCGCTCATAAGCTCGGGACATGATGTCAACGCCCTCGATCGGTTGGGCATGACTCCCCTCATGTATGCTGGCATTATGGGACTTGTCGACGCTGTCCTTTGGCTCCTCGACCGTGGAGCGGATGCTTCACTTCGGGATACCAAGCACAAAAAGCTTTTCATTGATTTTGCAGCTTCTCGCAACAACTGGGACGTTATCATGGCCGCTCTTTCAAAATTGGAAACACGGTCAGACAACGACACTGGCTGGACCTGGGCGCGACACGCAACTATTCTGCGTCATGTGGAGTTTCCGGATCACACAAGGCTGCGCCTAGGTTTCAAAGACTTCCTCGCGATGTGCGACACGCCAAACTTCATCTTCGACCATAATGGCCGTCGCGGAAACACGTTGATGCACTTCGTGATCACTCCCGAAGAGGTGCAAACATTGCTAGATCAAGGTTTCACACGTGTAAACCAAGCAAACTCAGATGGCCATACCCCTTTCATGCGGTCATTGAGAAGGCACCGTGAGCTGCCCACAATCCTGCCGATCCTGAACGCCGGAACGGACATTCACCACCGAGACAATAACGGCCACACGGCGCTCTGGTACGCCTTGTACATGGGTACATTCCAAATGGCCAATTGTAGCCATGACAACGGCTGGCGGACACTTCACCATCTTCTCCAGTGCGGCATTGATGCGCTTTCTCTGGACAACTGTGTATGCCCGTGTTCGTCAAACGGATGTTTCCCATCCGGCATTCTACACTGGTCATCGTTATATTATTCACAACCGACTGATATCCCGCGGCCGTTATTTGAATGGCTCATCGTTGTCTTGGAGTATCGCGGTTCGGAAGAAGCGAAGACGATTCTGCTGTCCTACATCAGGAGGGCCAAACACGATGAGTTGGGCTTGACTCACCTCTGCTGCACAAGATTCCCGGGCAACCCCCCAATGGATGGTCATATGCCGCCCCTGCCAAGCGACGATGTTGACGATATCCTCACAGAGGAGGAAGAGCTCATCGATCTAATGGAAAAGGAAATGGAGGAAGCGAAGGCGTTGAAGTACGATCAACTCAGAGAAATATGGTTCACCCAAGTGAAAGAACGCCTTGATGCAGCTCGAGCAGACGAAGTCTGGGCAAAGCCTGGAAAGATAAAAGAGCAACCACCAGTATGTACAGGTCACGATTTAAGGGGGTTTCACAGCGATACTAACGCGGCAGAAGACCCGCTATCACTACCTCAACCCCATTGGGAAGCAAGTCGCTGCGTATAAAGGATGGATAGACTTTGAATTCGAGTGTCGTAAAAAGTATCTGGAAGACGATCCTATAGGAAACAGTTGGTACGAACAAAGGATCTCCCATCTTCGACATCTAGTTCAAGTCATGGGTGTGAAGCCTGAAGAAGTATCGGAGCATTGGTATGGGCTCCCTAACAAAGGCGCAGAGGAGCTGTTCTAGCTGGAGACGCACTCGACATTCTTCTGATAGCCTTTCCTGTATAGGGCTGGCATGGGAGCACAGATTGGAGCGGCGCTCGCAGAAACTCTCAAAGGGGAAAGGGGCGAGTTCATACGCGCCTTGAAGCAAGGGTATTGCGCAAGTTGAAGGGACGACGTATCCAGATATCTACCGGCCAGCAAACCGGGGACCCTCTACAGAGCACCACCAAGAAGTCTCACAATCCGCATCGCGGCCTTGACCTTCCACCCAACCTGCCTCTCCTCTGTCTCGAAGTCTTCCCTCGTCGTAAAGGTCGCATACTCCTGCAGCCAGGCCTGCTCCTCACCAAGCCTCCTCTTCAGGTCCTGATCTCTTGTGACAACCAAAGCGCCCGCCTCGAGGTCATGCGTGTAGCTGCGGTTCGTATAATTGGAGCTGCCGATCGATGTGACGCAAGGTGTTTCTTCCCCAGGCAGCGTCACCCAGATGCCCTTGGCGTGGTAACTCCATCCGCCAGGCGTGCCGACGACGCCGCGCCGCCACTCCTTGAGCTTGATCGAGTCTTCCGTGCCAGCGGAGTGCACAGCGTGCGCAAACTGGCGCAGGTAGTACGTGTATGCGCCTGGCAAGAGACCAGCGACGCCAGGGGCATTGAAGAAGCCGTTGGCCTCCGGTCCGGCGGTGATGACGACGTTTTGCCCTTCGGAGCTGTGGGCCGCAATGAGGGCGGCCTGAAGTGACCGGCTCGGGTTGAAGTAGCCGGCTGTGAACGTCCACGTTGTCTTCTCTTGGCGCATGAAGTTCAAAAGGGACCTGATAACCGGTTGGTCTGTCGACGCCCCTGGCTGGAGAAGTTGTGCCATTTGCGCCGTCATGTATACTCGCGTGTCCTTACTCTCGTCATGACTTGGTGTTTTCTTAGGCGATATAAGGCGGGCAAGCGTGGATGATGTTGTCTCAACAAACTTCTCCGGGCTGTCCAAGGGTGATAGCGTCGCATTGGTGACTGGCCACGCCAATTCGAACCCAGCTTGTTCCCTCGTGGGCTCGACAAGAAAGCTGAAGGATGACACGGTACGGTGTATGTCGTAAAAGTAATCAGTAACGGCTTTGGAGGAGAACAGGTGGTATCGGTCCTGGCGGTTCGTGAAGTAGTCATTCGACAAATTGGCTCTAGGCAGCGTCAGCAAGCGGTTGTTGTACACCCGCTATATCATTAACACATACCCAGACAATATAATCTCGTCATCGACACCGTATAGCTTCATGTGCTGAAGTCCCCAACCCTCGTTGATCCGCCGAGGCATGAGCTTCTTTCGCCAGCCCGTCAGGTTGGGAGTATGGTACATTCGGATCTCGACCCTGTCAGGACCGAACTCGGTGACAAGGGGAGCCAGGAGCGAGGCGCATGACTGTTTGGGGGCCTCGCGCGTACCACGGAGGGCATCGGTGAGGATGTGCAGCTTGAGTTCGGGGTTCTTGCGCAGCGCCTCTTGTATCGTTGCGATCTGCCGTCGTTCAGCAAATCTTCAGCCGCAGGTTCGGGACAACTTCGTTTTTTCCTACCAGCTCTCTCTCTGTCTTGCCAATGTATAACGTCGACAGGAAGATCCGGTTCTTCGCATTTCGTATCCTTCCCTGTCCAGTCTTCTGTTAGCCGTTGCGTCGAGGTTCCGGCAACCACCTACGCACCTTGAGCGTCTCGTAGAAGTCAGCAGGCTCCCGAATGATCTCGATCTGCGAGCCATTGATGTCGAAGCTCGGCGCAAGCTCGTCCAGCTTGTTCATGAACGAAACAAGCGGTCCCCCGAACGGGCTGCTGGACACCGGTGCCGCAGCCGCAGGCGTCGAGTAGGCGCGTGTCTGTGGGCTCGCATACGAAGGCCTCGCCCTCACGACGGCAGCCCTCACCTGTGACGCGCACCGCGGAGTACTCCGGACAAACATGATGGCAAACAGTTGCTGACACTTAAAGGAAAGAAAGACGACAGTTGCCAATTCGGCAAACGCGACAACGGTGAGCCTCTTCTCCCCAACACTTCGCGGTTAGACATGGGTTCCTCACACACCCACCCCTGCCCTTGGCCTTTGACCGTGGGGAAAGGCCTCTGTAAAACGCGCCCGCCAATTGGCCCGAGCTGCCTTATGTAATCGTCCAGCACCCGGGCATCATCGCCAACCTCGACTTCGACCTTCAATTCCCGGACAAACCACCCTCCACCACGTATCGCACCCCCCTCCAACCCACCAACACGGTCAATTGACCCCCGCCGCCGCCATGTCGACCATCACCCGTACCGTGTCGAACCTCCGCAAGGTCGGCATCAAGGTGCGCCGCATCCCATCCCGACGTGTTCCCTCAGCAAACGACAACTGACGAGATGTGAAAATCACAGGACTACTTCCGACAGATGCTCTACATCGGCGACACCAAGGCCGGCCGCCTCGTCGGTACCGACCGCGCCGGCAACAAGTTCTACGAGGACATGGACGAGCTTCCCCGTACGTTGTAAACCACCTCCCCAGATCACCTAGCCTCGATCCGAACGCGACCGCAAGCGCATCACTCTCCCGCCCTATGCCGGCGAGAGCAGCAAGAGATCTGCTAGGGCCCAAGGGAGGAAGAGAGCCAGAGGAAACAAGAGAAGAACGCAAGGCAGAGGGACAGACAGCTGACACGGCACAGTTCGTACCCGCTGGGTCGACTACAAGAAGCACGACTACGACGCCGCCACCATTGAGCCCGGCTGGCACGCCTGGATGTCCTACATGATCGACAAGCCGCCCGCCGAGGACCCCCTCATCCGCGCTGGTCTACGCAAGTTCGAGAAGCCGCACCCGATTCCCAACTACACTGCCACGCGCGGCGCCTTTGTGACGTACAACACGTGAGTGGAACGCCGCCGCCGCTTCGAGTTGAGGCAGCATGAGTGAGTGATTGCTGACTGGTTGCAGGACGAAGCCTAAAGTGAGGACGTGGGAGCCCAAGGCCATTGCAAGGCAGTGAGCGGTTTTCTGGCGCAGAAAGGGTGTATATAAACATTCGTGGATACGGATGAATCGAATTCCTTTTGTTTTTCACCTTCGAAGCTACTCGCGATGGTGATGTGATTTCATAAGCGACTACTCAAAACAGCACAGTATATTGACAGCAGTTTGCGATATCCAAGGAAGGGCTACTGAAATATTCCTTCGAGAAAGCGCATCAACGAAGATGCAGTATGAACGACTTGACCACATGCGCTTCAGAATTGGCATAACGAGCAAAGAAATCGAATCATGGCGAGCGAGAAGAGAAACGGAAACGGCAAAGAAATGACCGCCAAAATGCAGCAGCTCTACAACCCGGAAAAATGCGCAGCTCTAACGCTATGCGTCTAGCATTTGATGCGCCTGAAAATGCGTCCCACAATGGTCGGCAATTTGGTAGCAACACATCTAGACACGCGACTCGACCGCTGCTTTGATGGCTGCGCACCGTTAGGATCTCTCTGGTCGGACAATTGGGGGGGGCCTTACCGTCGCAACTGGTCTTGGCGTCTCCGAAGAGCATACGGGTGCCCTCCATGTAGAACATGGGATTCGGCACATCAGCTGTATTCCTGTCAGTATGGAATACTCTACGTGTTTGACAAACTCACCATAACCACTGGCCATGCCGCGTTTCATCACAATGACCTGCTTGCTCTTCCAAGCCTGCAGGACAGGCATGCCCGCGATGGGGCTGCCCGGCTCCAGGGCAATTGGGTTGACGGTGTCATTGGCGCCAATAACGAGGACAACATCCGTCTCACCAAAATCGTCGTTGATCTCGTCCATCTCCAGCACAATGTCGTACGGTACGCTCGCTTCAGCGAGCAAGACGTTGCATTGACCAGGCATTCGGCCTGCCACAGGGTGAATGGCGAAACGTACATTGATGCCCTTCTTGCGAAGCATTTCGGTGATCTCGCTGATGGCGTATTGCGCCTTGGCGACTGCCATGCCATACCCAACTACAATGATGACATTTTCGGCGTTGACAAGAGCCTCGGCCGTGTCGTCGACCGAGGTCTGCGTAATGGCGCCTTCAATCTTGTACTCGCTTGCAGGCGCTGAAGCAATACCACCGAAAAGCACATTGGTCAAAGATCGGTTCATGGCCACGCACATGATGTACGATAGAATGGAGCCTGAAACGCCAATCAACGCACCGACAGTCGTAAGCAGCGAGTTATCGAGCATGAATCCCTCGGCTACCAGAGCGAAGCCTGAATAGGCGTTCAGTACTGTAATGATGACTGGCATGTCAGCACCGCCAACTGCTGCTGTCGTCGTGTAGCCTTTGATGAACGATAGCAGAGTGTTAGCGCCAAGAGCTGCCGCCGCGATCATGGGAGATCCAGGCGCCATCGTTATAAAGGCACCCATGGTGGCGACGTTGGTGGCGAGCATGCCAGAGTTGAGAAGATGGCGTCCGGGAAGCATGAGAGGCTTCGACGACATCTTGCCAGCTAGCTTCATGAAGGCTACAATAGACCCTGTGAAGGTGATACCACCAATAAGCACGCCGAGATAACCAGTGACGAGATGAAGTGTGGAGATGTCGGCTTCGATATGGCCCATGATGCTGCCGATAGATGTCAGGACAGCTACAAGGCCAACAACTGAATGAAGAGCGGCGACGGTCTAGGGGAGGCCGGTAGGCGTAATCCGCTTGCCAATCAAGAAGCCAGCAAGACCTCCAATAGCTGCCAGACCACTGAACTGGGCCAAGACATCAGGCGAAAACCCAACAGCGTACAATGACGCCAGGATACCCGATCCCACACCTAGGATGCCCAGTATGTTGCCCATGCGAGCTGTTGCCTGGGAGGCAAGACAGGATAGCGAGCTGATGCACAAAACAGAGCTGACCATGTAGCCGGCCTGAACTAGACCTGCAGCTCCAGTTGCGGCAGCCGCGACAAAGCCACCGCCAAAGACAGCGGCAGGCACAGCATACAGCCAAGGATACTCGGGAGGATCTGTTGGTCGCTTGAACATGTCCAGCATTCGCTTCGTGATAACGAAGCCGCCCGAGATGTTGACGAAAGCTAGCAGTACAGACAGAGCACCAAATACCTGGGGGATGGTCTGTGGGAAGATGCCGCCGCCCAGCACGAAAAGGCCACCAACGCCAACCATGCCTGCGACCGGTGTCAGCCTTTGTCATTTGCGTGATAGAGACACCTCTTACCTGATATGGCATTGGTAACACTCATCAGCGGCGAGTGCAGAGCCGGAGCCACGCCCCATACAACACGATAGCCGATAAGTGAGGCGAGCGAGAAAGTGAACAGGTTGCTCATGAAGAGTGGGCCTGTGACAGTACGAAGAGCCAGCGCTGTTCCCATGCCAGCAGTCACCGTAGCAACCTCTCTGGAAGTCTTCTGGAAGGGCGTCACTGCAACAATCTCGGCCTCCTTCGTGGGCGAGGCAGCTTGAGCCGGTGCTGGGGGAGGAGCCGGCCTGGGAGGTGGCGGTAAAACCTCTCCTTTCTGGGTGACAATGGCACCGCGAACAACTTCATCAGAAAGATCGATTCCAAATTCCTTATCTTTTGGCGCCATCGAGAGCAAGAATTTGGTGGTGTTGTTCGAATACAGCGTAGACGATTGGGTAGGGAGTCTCGACGGCAGGTCAGTGTAGCCTGGGAAAAATTAGCAGTCGTGACGAGGTAAACCGCTTGTGCGTTAGTTGACATACCAATGATCTTGACATCCTTGTAGACAGTCAGCTCTCCGGGCTTCGTCTTTTCACAATTCCCTCCGGCCTCGGCAGCGAGATCGACCACAACAGATCCAGGTTTCATCAGCTCAAGCATAGATTTGAGGATGAGCTTGGGGGCAGGCTTCCCGGGAATCAGGGCAGTTGTAATGATGATGTCGACCTCACGAGCCTGTTCGTGGAACAGCTTCATTTCAGCCTCGATAAATTCCTTGGACATCTCCTTAGCATAGCCACCAGCGCCAGAGCCATCTTCCTTAAACTCGACCTCGATGAATTCCGCACCAAGTGACTGGACTTGCTCGCGAGCAGCCGGTCGAGTATCAAAGCCTCGGACGACGGCACCGAGTCGCCTGGCAGTTGCAATGGCACTTAGGCCAGCGACACCCGCGCCAATGACGAGTACCTTGCAGGGTGGGATCTTGCCAGCGGCGGTGACCTGACCAGTCAGGAACCGGCCAAAGTTGTTCGAAGCCTCCAAAACGGCTTTGTAGCCAGCAATGTTGGCCATTGAGCTCAGTGCGTCGAAGACTTGGGCACGGGAGATGCGGGGAATAAGATCCATGGCGAACGCTGTCGCTTTCTGTGCAGCGAGCTTTTCGACAATGGGCTTGTTTTGTGCGGGCTGCAAAAATGAGATGACAGTTTGCGACGGCTTCATCACCTCGATCTCGGCAGGAATGGGGCTTCGAACTTTGAGAACAATGTCGGCACCCGTCCAGACGTCATTGGCCGAGTCGACAAGAGTTGCACCAGCTTCGTGGTAGACATCATCGAGGAAGTCGGCCTCGGTGCCCGCGCCGCGCTCGACGAGTACCTTGGAGAAGCCCTTCTTGAGGAGCAAAGCCACGTTCTGAGGAGAGAGCGCGACGCGGCGTTCGTTCAAAAAAATCTCTTTGGGGACGCCGACGGTGAGTTGACTGTACGGAACGGAGTGAGCGACTGGCAGCTCAGGTTCGGCTGCCTGTCCAGGCGCAGGCGTGCCTGTCACGACAGAAGCATGGCGGACGAGTTGGAGAGACTTCGTGTGGGCTGGAACGATAGCGTTTGTGCGGCTCGGTTGCAAAGTGCTCTGCCAGCGCGTCGGATGGGTGCTATGGATGCTGGTAGATCGAGGCGTGGGCAAACTCGCATCTGTAGCGAGAACATCAGTACAAAAGCGGACACCAAGTCAAGCGCGAAAGCAGAGTTCGCCGGCCTACCCGTGACATTGGGCCATGATCGCAAGGCGAAAATCCCAGTGGCAGACGAAGTACAGACGGCATGGGCCGTTGCCGGCCGTAGAAGGGCGAGCGATATCATGGTGGACTACAAAGATCAGGCGTCCAGGCTGAGGAAGCCAGAGTGACGAGCTGAGACGGAGGCGTTCATGTGTGGTTCATGCAAGTTGTTGTCAATGAGCACGGAAATCGATGACACCTAGCGACTGAGGAGGGGCCGAAAGGAGACGGGGAAGAGAAAGAAGGAAAGAAGGAGTCTAGGACGAGATTGAGTTCGAGTTCGCACGAGGGAGAGCTCCTCGTCATCCGAGTGGCAGATCTATTACCCCTCAAGCCAAGGACAAGGAGTCAAGGAGGGGTTTGTGCCTGGGCTGCCGCGCGTGGCAGAGGGGCGTTTTGAAGCTCAAAGGTGACGGCGTCGGGGCCGCTGAAGCGCGATTGGACGGATCATGTGGCAGAAGATGTGCCGTGGGAGCAAAAGGGGGATCGACCGTTGGAGAAGGATGCAGCTGGCGCGGCTGGAATGGGATGGTGTTTGGAGGAGAGTGGCCCTGGATGAAAGGAAGGGAGGGTTGGCTGCCTGCCTGAGATACTGGATGTATACCGAGAGACATTCTTGCCCTGAGGATACAACCATTGGCACAGGCGTCACTGGTCACCTGTGCCGCGCCCACCGCGACCGAGCTCCCCGGGAAGGAAGTGCAGCAGGTGGGGAAACGCCCTTGGCGCTGCGCTGTGGATGTGCGGGGTTAGGCAGGGATGGGCAAGAGACAGTCCTGTGGGTGTGGGTGTGGGGGGAAAGAGCACCTTTGATGCTGCTGCTGCCTTCCATTCTCAGGTCCGCCTGCCTATTGCTCTGGGGAATCCTGCTGCGAGGTCGCATCCAGACTCACCTTCCCATATGCCCTGTGCCGCACCATGTCTGAGGAGCAGTGAGCAAACCTGCTGTGGCACGTCGAGAGGCATGCCGATGATGCAGCGCAAGACGTTCACCTGCAGCGGCGGCATGCGATGTCACCTCAACAGTGGTGGAAAGATCCTTTCGGCCGGCAATGAAGACCAAGGTGCAGGAACTCCTCTGTACACTGGCCATCACGGTGTTGAGTTTGCACAATGAAGCACATTGTCCAGCCAACTTCGAATTACGGACGCTGCTTTTCGCACGGGCACAGAATATGGCATTGTAACGCCATACGAGTGAGCCGCCTTTGGACCAACTTGACCTCGGCTGAATTTTGGCGGCAGATTCGACTCGAAGATCTTGAGGACTGACTGATACGCCCATTTGGCCTGCACGGCAAATCACGCATTGGGCCCAGGACAAGACCCCGTTCATGCGCAAATCACAGAGAATTAGACGAGACAGGCGTGGTCTTGATAAATGTACGTTTAAATATGTTTTGCCTGCATTCTGTACTTGGGATTACAAGTATCTGGCTTGTCGTCTGGTGACATTATTCGGTATGTGACGGGCACTCTACCACCTCGGTTTTTACTTTGGGCAGCGTACGTGACATTGAGGTTTTAGCGGGATTTTTGAACGGAATACTTCTGCATCATTCAAATCATGAATTCTTGTAGAGTAAGGAACTCCGTCTGCAGAGTCCCTATTGAGTACCCTATTGTAAGCTTTGAGATGGAACTGGATCTTACGTTGATTACGAACTGAAGCACGCCACACTCAGGAAATTGACCAAGATGGTGCTAAAGTCTCACACATAACCTCAAAATATCAAATCACCTTCATGTCCACGACAGTCTCACGATGGAAGCAGTTGCTACAACACCCGGACGGGACAAAGCAACCTCGGGACACCGAGAGTTGACCGAGCTTTGAATGTCCAAGTCCACTCGGGGAATTTGATTTCACCCCCTTCCCATTTGCCAATCAGGCCCACTTCCCCCTTCACCGAGCTCATCTCGGTCAATGCATGCACAGCGGACACCCTGGAAAAACACTTTTCGCGCAGCTCCGCCGAGAAACCACAGGCCAATCGACCCAAGCTCAATCGAACCTCACCATCATACCCGCGACCACCAAACGCACGAAACCACCCACCCCGACCACAGCCGGCGACACTCGCGCCCTCCCAATCGAGATCCGATCCCCTCCAGCTCGCCGCCTCCGAGTCAACACACAACACGCATACAAAGGCCCATCATGGTCTCCCGCATCCTCTTCTGGTCCGGCTTCGGTGCGTCACAATAACCCAAACTCCTCCAACACGCCCTGTCACCTTTCACTTGATCCCGCGGCCCACGCCCCTCCCCGTCCGCATTTCACACTAGAGCAGCTACTGACCCGGAAACTGCAGGCTTCGCCGTCCGCTTCTGGCAGATGGGCATCGAGATGCGCCCCTTCTTCACTCGCAAGACCCTCTGGCCGTACCCCATCTACACGGCCGCCGGTGGCGCCTTTGGATACTGGCTCCAGGGCGTCGACGACAGACAGACGGCCACGCTGACGGAGCGCAAGGCCGTGCTTCTCGAGAAGCGCGCGCGCAGGGCGGAGAAGGAGGCCGAGGCTCCCTCGGGCGCGGCGCAGTCTGTTTGAGTATTAGGTCGAAGGCGAGGGAGCGACGATCGAATGGTTTTTTGTGGTGGTGGAAAAACGTGCCGCACGGCAGGCAACGCCGCTTGACGGATCAATCATCTCGTCGGCCCAATGGCAGCGGCGAGTGTAAATATGGCTCTGGGGTGTGGAATTGAATCTTTGAATGAACTGCAGCACGAGTTCGAATGACTAAGTGGCTTCGAATATGATGGATGGGCATCGAGGGGGAACGACATTTTGCACATGTGTAAACTTGGGATGAAGTTGAGTGTCAAAGGGTCGAGATCCCCCGACAGCGGTCAATTGGGCATCGAAATATTCCGCCAGACGGCTGAAGACCTATCGAACTCCAGACAGGTTGACCTAGCTATCACCACCAACACAGCATCCCCCAACGCCTCCAATGCATCGTATCCCCGTGCTTACAATTCCTCCAGCTTTCGCAAGATGGCAGCCACAGAAGATGTCGCCGTGTTGCCCAGCTCTGTGATCACTGCCGTGACGTGCTTGTCCTGCGTCGTGTCAAACAGCAGCCTAAATCCGTCGTTCGAGTTGTTCTCGGGGTCAATCTCGTTGTACGTGAGTGAGTCCATTGCCACCCTCTCGGTAAAGTTAATCGTCTCTGACAGACCGACAACCTGGACGCCGAGATCTTGCGCTGCGATCGCCACATCGCATGTTCCTGCCCTCGCGTACATGGCTCCGTTGCTGAACATGGCCTCAGCTCCAACAAGCACCATGTCGGTGTTGGCGAGATGAGCGCGCAGGGCGTTGAGACCGGGCACGTAGATGACCGAGAGGCCGTCTGCATGAAGAGACTTGGCAAGCTCTTTGCCCGTGAGCTCAAAGGGGTCGTCAATAATTATGGCAGTAAACTGTTTGCCCTGCTCAACGTGAGCGTGACGGAAGGCGCGTTGAATAAGAGGGTGATGAGCATAGGTGAGAATTGTCTCGCCATCCGTGATGAGGGCGGCGGCCGTCTCGATTATGACCTCGTCGGCGAGGTGAACGCGCTCGCGGAGGAAGTTGTCAATGGACTCGTGCAGAAGCTTGCGTGCCTCGTAGTCGGGGAGGTCAATGTCGATCTTGCTGATCTGGAGCTTGAGCCAACGCACGGCGTTGCCCATGGAGAAGCACATTGGCCGACATGCTGACAGATACTCAACTTGCGGGTTGAGAATGTGGGAGGTGAAGTGTCTGGAGAAGGTGTTGCCCTGAGGCGTCGCATACGAGTCGATGACCTGCGTAGGCGTGTCAGCATGGTGATGCGTCAGTCAACGTGGCACAATCGGCGCCTCACCTTCTTAAAGGCAAGCAGCGTGGCCTCAAGCCGCGCCGTGCTGTCGCTCACAGCAAAAGCAGCCATTTGCTGGCCGAGCAACAGCATGGCCGGATGCACGTCCTTATCGGCATGGGTCAGTGGTGTCCTCTTGGCCACGGACAAGTGGCTGTAGCATTCTGGTATCGTCGGCTTGACTTCCTTCACGACAGGCACCACGACGGCGGCCTGTTTCGCCTGCTGCCCTCGCGCGCCCGCACCGCCGGCGGCCTGGGGCCCGTCCTGCTTCTGCTTTGATTTTCCGCCCTTCGCGTCGCCGCCCACCTGTGCTTGCTGGCCTCCAGGCCCACCGCCGGAAGGAGCAGCTGCTGGCTGTGCTGCTTTTTGCTGGGCTCTCCTCGCCTGCTTCTCAGCTTTGGCCTTTGCCTTCAATTCCGCGCCCGAAAGCTTCTTCTCGCCCTCTGCCGCCGGAGCTCCTGTGCTCTTCGAGTCCTTGCCGCTCTTGGCAGGCTTGGCGACGGGTGTCTCCTTTGGTGTTTCCTTCGGTTGCTCAACCGTTACAGCAGCAGCCGCAATCTCGTTTTGCGAAGCGCCGGGTGCATGCTCCCCCTCGGTCGCCATATTTTGTGTGTCTGACGGTGCGCTGCACTCTAGAGCTGTCGTTGCGTCGAAAAAGTATGCGTCGATGGGAGAAAGCGAGGGGTTCCAGAGGAAGTCGCACCAGGTGTGGTGTGCTCGCTAAAAGGGTCCGATGGAGGAATAAAAACGTCTTTCCGTAAAAGCTGTACAAGTACAGTCGTAGGTCCAGGTGATCCAAGAAGATACAAGAGCTTCGTGAGGCGTTGATTTTGTCGCGCTGGAGCGTCGAGAAAGTGGTTGTCGAGCTGAATTCGGAAAATTGAAGGCTGAGTCACATGGATTTGTCGCACCCAATGCTTTTGCTGGTGGGAGGGGGGAAACAAGTCAAGGACCCCGCGTTGGTGGGGCCGCTAGTGGGCAGCTTCACAGCCGCCGCGACCTCACCTTGCACACCCAGGACGGCCAGGGTTACTTCTGATGGTTGATACCATCATCTTGAATATGAAACCCAAATCTCGAGCAAAGAGGTCTTCTTTTTCTCTCTTTCATTTTGGCTCCGTGGTCTCTTGTTGCATCATTGTGCAATCAACTCTGACTATGTCTCGACCGCTGCTCTGCTCCAAGTTTTCATGGCGTGGCATAATCATAATCATGTCGAGCTCTCGACAGAATGCACGTCGTGAACTGCGCAGCTCCTAGTAGGGGGGATATTCTTCTGCTGAGCCTAGAATTTGAGACTATCAGTACTGTTGACCGAGCTTAAGACTCACTCGTTGTGGCCAAGCATGAGCTGAAAACGGAGAACGGCTTCTGGGTTGTGACACTAGAATAAGGTGCAATTTTCAAGAATATGCAGCCCAACTCGGCCCATGTGGCTGAGAAGAAATGCCCTCGAGATTGGTTGACCTTGCACAATCAGAAGGCAGCTGCGCAGCGCGGCCGCATCTCAAGTACTGTAGGTCATCGAGTGCCCGAACAACAGAACACGAGCACGGCTAACCTACCAGGAGATGGAAGAAGTAGCACCAGAATTTTGTAATGCGAACAGCTATGCTGTGTTTTTAGTTGGAAGATAATGACCAGAGAAATAACCCTGAGCACCCATACATGACCAAAGAATACTAAAAGAACGTGAATTACATGATGAGAAGCATATGCACTTTGTGAGCAACGATACGCTATGGGAAATGACACAAAAAAAGACAACAGAGGGGAAAAACAAAAGATCTATCTTAGCAACTGGACGTTTCGATCGTCCGACCTCCGGGTTATGAGCCCGGCGCGCTTCCGCTGCGCCAAGTTGCTTTGTTTGATGATTAGTCATCTGATGTCTAGACTCATGGCCCGGCCAGAATCATGGCAAAGGATGTCCAGGTAGCTTGATGCTACTACAGACATAGTTCGCATGATAGAAAGTGTGTCCTCAAAGTCCCAGTGTATTTGCAAGGTGTCCCCATCTGTTGACGCGACCAAAGGGAATCTCCTCTCAACTCTCAGCCCCTTACTGAGCTTCCTGAGGGGTAGCCTCCGCCTCTGCCTTCGCTTTGCCCTTGGCCTTGACCTCCTCCTTCGGTGCCACACCTTCGACATAGATACGGAATGATTTTCCCAACTCGCCTTCTCTCGCCTTCCTCTCCCTGGCCCCCGGCACCTCTGCCACCGCCGCCCCAACGGCCTTGACGACGGCCGCCATCTCCTCCTGCGTCGCCTTCCTCGCGCCCTTCTTCTTGGCCAGCGTCACGTCTACCCGCCACCCCTTGCCGAGGAAGTCCTTGAGCTTGCCCATGCGGATGGCGAGGTCGTTCGCCGCAATCGCCCAGTTGAGCTCAATCTCCTTCAGCTTGCCCGCCTGCTTCTCGCGCGCCTTCTTCTCCTTCGCCTGCGCCAGCAGCCGCAGCCTCTCCTCCTGCGCGTGCACGATCCTGCACAGGGCGAACGGCACCTCCGCCCGCGCGGGCCGTGCCTTGGCCGCCTGCCCATCGGCGCTGGGCTTCTTCGGCTCCGGCGGGGGTCGCCGCCTTGATCATGCGTAGCGAGTAGCCCTCCTCGAGGTCTTCGATGATGGCGCGCGTGAGAAACGGGCCTTTGATGCCTGTGGCGTCGTCGACGAGCATGATCTTCTTGTCCTTGATCTCGAGGTCTTGCGGGAGACGGTCGGGAGCCACCTTGCCGCGCCGGCCGCCGGGGCCTGTCGGCCCTGCGGGACGGGGAGGCGCCGAAAGGAAGCGTGTCGTAGATAACGTGCGGAAAGCTGATGGACGCGTAATTGAAGCTGACCAGTTCTTGCGAGCATGGGCGCTGGCGAGCGCGAGGCTTCGTGATGCCAGGGTTGTTTCAAGAGACTCGAGGGGAGACACGAACACCCGGTAAAGGGCCGTCTGGCTGTTGTAGACACATCTTGCTGTCTTCATGTCGTCGAAAACCCGTCGTAGCCGGGTCAGGAATGGAGGATGCGCAGAGATAATGACCGTGGTACAGCAATCAAGTTCAGGGCTGGGAAGTTCAAGCTTCTCGGAAGCACCGTGGCCCATGGTAGCCGTCGGAGGCTCCTAACGTCAGAGTGGGCCCTGAAACCACCCGTCCGAACCAGTCAGAGTGCTCAATCGCAAAAGCTCTCCTGGTCCAAGGTCCCATTCTCGGCCTCAACTCCCTCTCATCACTCATCTGGTCGTCAGGGTCACCTTCATCACATCCCCTCTCTCTTTGCTCATCCAGACAAACCTCACGCAGCCCGAGCATGTAAACCCCGCAACCATGGCCCCCGGCCCCTTCGCCCGCTTCGCCGCGCGCCAGCCCGGCCGCAACTCCCTCCTCCTCTTCCTCGGCACCTTCAAGGCCCTCGCCGCCGCCCACCTCCTTATAGACTACGGCTACCGCACCGGCCCCGCCCAGGGCGCCTCCATGCTCCCCACCTTTTCCATCTTTGGCGATCACTTTCTCATCTCGCACCACCACCGCCGTGGCCGGGGCATCCGCGTCGGCGACCTTGTCGAGTACAGCATCCCCATCTTCCGCAACAGCCGCGGCATCAAGCGCGTTATCGGCATGCCGGGCGACTACGTCCTCATGCATACGCCGGGGGCGCCCGTGGCCGAAGGCGCCGAGCCCTACATGATGCAGGTGGGTGAGCTTTGCTGATTCAGGACCCGGCATCTACTGACAAGTCACAGGTTCCCGAAGGCCACTGTTGGATCGTTGGCGATAACCTGCCTAGTTCGCGAGACTCGAGGACCTTTGGACCACTACCCCTCGCCTCTATACACGGCAAGGTCATAGCCAAGGTGTTGCCTCTGAAGGAAGCGGAATGGATAGAGAACCCTTTAGATGAATCACATTGAAAACACAAATCGTGCGTCTTCGTCACATTAGTGCTGCTTTAAGTGTACATCAGACGACACGCGAGTCAATTCCTTTGGCTCTCGCAAAGCCGCTCTAATTACAACTGCCTATCACGAAATAAGCGCCGGGTGGTAGGGAACCGGCCAGCTCGGCCGTGAATCCATCACCCCCCGCGGAAGAAGACAGACGACGAGCCAATCCTGGTCGCGGCCATAATGCATATCGCAGAAAAAGAGGAAAGAAAAAAGACAGGGCAGGTTGCATCTCTCCTTCGACAACCTCCACCATACGGTGCATATTCAGCTCCATAACTCTCATACAAACAAACCAGTCGCTCCTCCTAGAATGCCGCCACACCAGAAAAACAAAAAAAAAGGTAAAAACAAGAGCTCACGCAATCGGTATAGTAATGAACGCCAGGAACTCCTCCTCGCCATCTGGCGCCTTGGCCCTACGCAGACACATCCCCCAGTTCCGAGGAAGGAGAAGAGATTTGGCACTTGCAGCAGGCAGCTCTTAACCCTCAATGTGGGTCTTTGAAGTGCTCTGTCCCAGAAGCTCGAGGCAGCGTTGCGCCAGCGTGACAACCTCACCCTCATCGTCGTCTTCGAATTCGTGGTCTGGCTCTACCTGGCGGTTGGCCGTCTCCTTGATTTGGTCGACAACATCCTCAGCCTGACCGATGAGTTGAATCAGAGCCTTGTCCTCGGACTCAAGGAGCTGCAGCAGGGTCCAGATCGCGATGTGCTGGAATGTGGCATCGCCGCTCTGCAGGAACCTGGTCAGGTAGCCGTGAATGCCGCCGTGCGGGTCTTTCCAGTCTTGGACGAAGACGGAGTAGTCACCGACTAGAGAAACTGATTAGTAACCCGTACCACATAAATGCCGAGTGTAGGGGAACAAAGTACGAACCCTTGGAAGACAGGTTGCCGAGCGCAGCGGCACTGTTGCCCTGAACTTCGATGCTCGGCGAGCTGGTCAGGGGGATGAGGACTGCAAATACGCCCAGGTTGAGCAAGTGACTCTTCAGCTCGTCGCTGAGTGCGAGGACAGCGATCGCCGCCGTCATCTCGGACTGGACGGTGACCGGCACATCGAGAACGAGCTGCTTGCATTTCTGAACTGCACCAGCCTCGAGGACCAGCGCCTTGTTGCGGTCAGAGCTAGCAGCCAGGTTTCTCAAGGTCGAGATGGCGTGACACTGGATTTCCTCGTTATCGGTAGATCCGAGGAGGTCAACGAGGGGCTTCAGGAATCCGGCTTCGATGATGGGCGATTCGTTCAATGGGTGAATAGAAATGTTGCGAATGCAGGCAACGGCCGAAAGAATGAGCGGGAGGTACGATGACTGAAGGAGGCGCAGCAGAGGAGCCAGGCCATTGGAACGGACGATATCAAGCTGGTACTTCTCATCGGAAGCCAAGTTTCGAAGAGCAAGTGCTGCCTGACACTGTACTTTTGGCGAGGACGAGTCCATCAGGGCGACCAGCGACGAAACCAGCTTGGTCTCGCTCTGGGCTAGCTTGCGTCGGTTGTTGCCATCGACGGCGATGTTGCTCAGGGCAGTCGTGCAGTAGTACTGAACGTCGACGTCGGAGGAGGACAGGAGCTGAACAAGAACAGGGATGGCGCCGGCGTTAACGAGTTGTTGTCGGTTCTCGTCTGTGATATGTCAGTGTCTGTGGGGAAGTGGCCCAGAGGGACACCTACCAGAGTGCGTCATGTTGAGGAGAGCACCAGTCGCATTGCGCTGCACTCGCATGTCCTTGGACTTTGCCAGTCTCGTCAGAGGACCGAGGGCGCCGGATCGCGCAATCTTGGCCTTGTTGTCTTCATGTGTCGCAAGGTTTGTGATACACCCAACAGCGTTGCACTGGACTTCAACGTTGGTAGAGAGCATTTGACGAATCAGAGGTTGCAGGCCACTCATTTGAACAATGAGGACCTTGTTTTCCGCTGGCGGAGGGTCAGTTTGCGCACCGCAGACTTCGGCCAGTCACACTCACTGTTGACGGCCAAGTTGCCGAGCGCGGCGCTGGCAGCACGTTGGACCTCAATATCGGAGCTGTTGAGCAAGAATAGAATGGGCTCGAGGGTGTCGCGGTCGACCTCTCGGACATCTGGGAAAGATTCGTCAGCACAAGATCTATGCTCCTGGGGAGACCAGGTCGGCCAGACCGACACATGTAGATCAGGCCAACAAAGATTGGAAACCCCAGGGTGGTGAGCGGTATCCACATGAAGAAT